GATTCAGTTTCTCCTCTCCAGCTGATCCCCTCCCCTTCCTCCCAGTTGAACTAAAAGTCATGGGTGTGTAATCCAGGTCTCCCAGTACAGCTAAGCATCTTTCTTTACTTCCTGCTCTGCTTCTTTTTACTTCTTATTCTCCTCTTCTTCTTTTTTTTTCATTTGCAAATTGGTCTACAATCTGTTTACCCTGGCCAGTGAAGAGTGCTTCGGCCCCTCTGCAAACATTTACACTCGCACTTAAACTCCAGGCTTCCATGGAGCTCCCCCCCCCCCCCCACACACACACACACACATGCACACACACACACCAGGCAAGTCAAAAGAGGATCCAGTCTGTCCACATGAGTATGGAAATGTCGTCCTCTTCCAAGGATCCAACACAAGGATGGTCCAGTTCAACGATCGATCCCGGCCTTGGGCAAGACACTCAACACACCTTGCCCGCTGGTGGTCATAAGAGGAACCGGTGGCGCCAGTGTGCACCAGGATGTGTGTGTGTGTGTGTACATGGGTGGATGATTGAAAGTGCCTTGGCAGGCTGTAGGACTGTGGAAGGTGCTGTATCCAGTACAGGCTGATTTACCATTCACTGTTCCTACAGAGACCACAAACGAGTGCTTCACACCTTTAAGGAGGAAACGCAAAAAAAAAAAGGTTGCATTCCAGCAAACTCGAGAGCAACTCTCAACAAAACCTTTAAAAAACTAGATTTCAAAAGACTCAACAGATCAAATAACACAGTCAAACCTACTTTGTCCTTTTCTTTCACATTTTGCCCAATTTACCAAAACCTGTAGAGCTGATTTTACAATGACTGTTGCTTTTTTTTTTCCCTTTCCTTTCTTCTTTGCTGGTGATATTTTGTGTTTCTCAGCCCTGATCTGGAGAGGTTCTTTGTGCTTTTCAGGTGTTTGTGGTCTCATCGTCCCTCAGGAGGACATGCCGTTCTGTGACTCGGGAATCTGTCCGGACATCATCATGAATCCTCACGGATATCCCTCCAGAATGACGGTACGCCTCCTCACATCTCTCAGTTACGAACCTTTTCCTCAGTTTATTTCGAAGCTGTGGTACTTTTAACAGCTGATCCAACCTGTAGTCGGTGCTTGTTTGTAAGTTTGACCTGAATCACCTCAGCTGTTGCAGTTTGTGTCGACTCTTCTGACTAAACCCTCATTATCTTCACTCCTCTTCTCTCCGGGTTATCATGGGCTTCCAGAGCACACGTCCATTGACGCCGTTAAGCAGCGGTCTTGCTCTTTACAAACAGATATTTGTTGCTGCGGAGACGGCTGCCAGCAAAGCCGCCGCCTGCTGCTGAATGTGGAGGTTTTATCAAACACGCACCGAGCTAAACGTCACCAACGTCGTCCCCTCACGCAGTAAAAACCAGGAGTTGTGTTTTCTGGCTGTGGTTGCCATGGAGAAGCCTCAGAAATGTTTGGCTCTGGAGGACGTTTCCGTGGCCTGAGAGTGATATGAGAGTAGGTGTTTCCTTTATGTGACGGGGTCAGGGGTCCTCTGGGTGCCGCCTCGGTGGGATTGTTGAAATCAGTCATCCTTGCAGCGATACCCCCACCCCGAAGGGGGGGTACATGTGTAATCTAATTTCACCAACAATAATCAGCACTTTGTGCCAGGAGAGATTCCGCATCCCCAAAACTTTTATGCTTTTCTCACAGCTGTGTGTGTTTTTTCATTTGTTTTTTGATCAGGTGGGAAAGCTGATAGAGCTGCTGGCTGGGAAGGCGGGGGTTCTGGACGGACGGTTTCACTATGGGACGGCTTTTGGAGGCAGCAAAGTGAAGGATGTGTGTGAGGATCTGATCCGATATGGATACAACTACCAGGGCAAGGACTACGTCACCTCAGGAATCACTGGGTAAGCAAAACCAAATGAGGCATCGAATCTCTGCAAAAGGCCTCAGTTACATTTATTTATTTATTTTTCTATGTATCTGCTAAAGCTGACTTGTGACTTGTTTGATCTGTTTTTATGACTAGTTTGTTTTATTCTGGTATTTTACTGTATTGTGTTTTATCTTGTAAAGTCACCTTGGGTGTTTTGAAAGGTGCTTTAAAAAATATATTTATTATTATTATTACTATTATTATTATTATTATTATTATTATTATTATTATTATTATTAATAAAAACAAAGATCGTGTGACCCGACTGGAGCTTTAATGTATAAACTTTAGATTTTCTATCAAATCTCTTTAAAACTGAAGCTTCCTGTCGTGAAACACCTGAATCTTCGTTTTTAAACAGTTCTTCTTCTCATAGAACAGGAATACATCTTTGACTAATGAGAACGCCGTCATGAAGTAACAGTTAAAACACTAAATGTACTTTTGGTTTAGCTTTGCTGATTCAGTATTTCTAAACCCAGAGAGCCTCTGGAGGCCTATATCTACTTTGGACCGGTCTATTACCAGAAACTGAAGCACATGGTTCTGGACAAGATGCACGCCAGAGCCCGGGGCCCCAGAGCTGTTCTCACCAGGTAGAACCCAAAGTTTCTAAAAAAGTCATTTCAGGATCATGTTTGAGTCTGAGGACAACAAAGTTTCCATTAACGTTCCCCGTCTCCAGGCAGCCCACGGAGGGTCGCTCCAGAGACGGAGGTCTACGTTTAGGGGAGATGGAGCGCGACTGTCTGATCGGCTACGGGGCGAGCATGTTGCTGCTGGAACGCCTGATGATCTCCAGTGACGCCTTCGAGGTGGACGTTTGTGGAGAGTGCGGTCTGCTGGGATACTCTGGATGGTGAGTTAGCGGTGGCGTTGATGGAAAAAGCTTTAGGATCGTCAGTAACCGGCTGGTTTGTGGTTTCCAGGTGCCACTACTGCAAGTCGTCCTGTCACGTTTCCTCTCTGAGAATCCCGTACGCCTGCAAGCTGCTGTTCCAGGAGCTCCAGTCCATGAACATCATCCCGCGACTCAAACTGTCGCGTTACGAGTGAGCAGCGCAGGGACAGCAGCTCGGTGTGTGAGTGGAAGGTTTAGAGTCGGATCCTGTAACCATTAATGATTTAGAAGGCCGAGCTTTAGGTGAGTGGAGACAAACGGGCTGAAGACGGAAGTTTTTGTTGATTTTTCACAAACTACAGCTGTGAAAGTTTCTCCTGTTTTCTGTTCGTATCTTTCACAGATGTTTTCTTTGTGTACAAAATAAAAACAAAACAACAATTTGCTCTGATGTGTGACACTCAAATGAATTTCTTTAAGCTCACTAACAAATAATATCTGAGTAACAGAACGGGTTGGACAGCCTTCCTTCAGATCTGGGTTTTAGCTCCTACCCATAATGCTCAGCTGCATCTCTCCACTTTAAAAGAACATTACAGCAATTTTTTTTTTGAAAACCTAAATTTAAATGGGGATAAAAATTAAGTCGTGGATCACGGCAGAAGACAAAATATACTAAAATGGTTCATTTATTTCAAATTTAGAAACTTGAATCCCAACATTTTCATGTTAAAAATAAATAAATGAATGAAAAAAATAAACCACCAGGTGGTGAAACTTAAAAATTATATCTGTGATGCAAAGAAATGTGAGAAAAGCTCAGCTTTTTAGAACTGCAGCATTATCCCAGAATTCACAAATATACAAAAGACAACTTTTAAAACTAAAGGCATCCCTAGAAGGAACACACACACCATCGTTCTTATTTTATTGAAATCTACCATTTTCTTTTGCCGCTATCACGACCGATAACTACATGTTTTCCACCTTATCTGCCTGCTAAATTGTCACTAAAAACAGTTGATGCACCAAGTTTCTTTTAATTAAGCAACTCTTGAACCCTAATTCTCTGCACTGCTCAGTGTTTAATAAAGTTTTTACCAAAGTTAAACAAATCAATAAACTGACCAAGAATTAAATATAAAACAGGTAAATAAAATGTCAGCTGACAAAATTGTTTTGGAGCGTTTATCAACTAGATGATATTCAGGAACGTTAATATTCTTTTAAATAAAAATATTGTTAGAATATTAATGAAAACTAACAGAAGTATCAAAAAATACATATAAAAAGTGCTGAAACATACCTGCAAAATCGAATGTTCATTCAGCACTTTATTTTATTTATCGATTATTTTATAATAATTCTTATCGTGTAAACTAATGAAAACTTTTCATGCAGCCCCCCCCCCCACACACACACACACACACACATTCATGAGATTAGAGATGTGTCTGACTATTGAGTAAATCTTCTAAAGAGGTACATTGACCAACGCAATATAGTAAAAAATGGTAAATGTCAGCCGTTTGATATTTGAGTCTGTCCCTAATCCTCCATTTTTGTTTTGGTCACATCTTGTGTGTGTGTAGGGAAAGCCTTCCAGCTGCTGAAAAATCAAACTGTAGCTCAATAGCTGTACAATTCACTGAGTTATGTCCACTTGTTGATCAGCTGTGGCATGCAGACGAAACACTAATGTTCAAATCACAGCAGCAGTTTGCATGCAGAACACCACACACACACACACACACACACACGCATGCATGCATGCACCCTAACTGGGACCCTGGGTGTGTAATAATGAGGATGGAGGAGGCTGCACCTGTTGTTTTACATCCTCTAATAAGGAGATGATGGACAGTCTGGGACCCCCCCCCCCCCCCCCCCCCATGCGTCCATGCCTGCACACTGAAAGAGAAAGTCCTCCTTCGCCCACCGCGGTGTGGTGAGTAATTCAGCCATAATCCGCCTTTCTCCTCTCCCCTCTGCTTTCCCCTTCTCTCCCCCACTCCTACCGTTCCATTCATATTCTAATCACAGCTTTCCCTTCTCCAGCTCTCAGGCACTCCATCAGAGCCCTCCCAGCCCCGGGCTTTGCACTTTTACTTCCCCCACCCACCCCCCCTTTGTGACCATTCCACTCTTCTCAGAGGCACACCAAAAATTAGACTGCTATGGCAAAACTCTGAATTTTAAAAAGAAAAACAGCTACATCAAGGAAGTTTCAATGTAGTTGGAAAAAGTTGGGAAGTCTTACCAACTTTTAAAAAGTTGGTTAAAGAGATGGAGTGTAAAGTCAGCAGTGAGGGGCAGGATGTGACGATGGAGTTAAAAACAGAAAATGTTTATTTGGAGGTTAGAGGTGAATAAAAATGTATGAAGTGCCATAACAGAGAGCGAGGAGGCCTCTGTGTTAGGACTGCGTAGATCTAAGCCTCCTTTTTTTTTGGTTTGGGGGGAGCCTTTCTTATTCAAAACAGCCCCACAAAAGACTTCCAGTGAGCCTTGCCACATCCCCATCTGACTTGGGGCCATTCATCAGCCTTCCTAGCCTATCAATGACATGTCCCCATCAGGGCTCCTATAAAATCAGCCCCTTTCCCATGAAACATCAGCAAACATTTTGACGGGTCTGGCTTTCCCCCCGCTGGATTTCTGGAGTCTCTACTCCCTCTCCTCCCCACCTCCTCCTCATCCACCCATTAGCTCCCCACCTCCTCCCCCTCTGTCCTCCGCCAACACCACCCCTCTCTGGGCGAACCTCAGATCCTCACCATCTCCTGTGACGGGCAGTGGTCGTGGAAACGGGGAGCAAGACGAGGGGAGAGTCTCGGAGGAGGGGAAAACGTGCACCGAGCCATTTTCTTGGAGGAGCCTGTGTCGTTGATGGGAAGAGGATGCATTGCGGGCTGCTGGAGGAGCCTGACATGGATTCCACAGGTCAGTCCTGCACTCGTGTGAATCTGAAACTTTCCTTGGATCGTCTGGATGCTGATCCGTAAATATCTGATTTTCTTTAACGAAGGAGCTTTTGTTTGTCTCACACATTCATGGTAAGTGCTGTTATGAGATGCACTTGTTCAGCTATTTCAGATTCCTAGCAGCTTTTCAGCCAAACTTTTGAGTAGAAATAAAACCAAGGAGAGCTCACAGTGCTGCACCTGCTCCCCTCTGCTCATTCACTCAGTTTAAAAGTGGAAAAGTACAACATTTGCCTTACTTTAAGAAGAATCCTGCAGAAATCACAACTAAAATTTGACAAACTTTTATTAATTGCTGTTGAATGATCTTTTTTAAATCAGATTTTTTTTAGATGATTTTGTAGAAAGGCGCATCAGATGTGTTGATAAAAGAGTGGACATCCATTTGAGCCGCTGATCAGATTTAATCCAATTATTTAGATCCCCAACTTATCTGTTCTTGTGACAAATGAAGCTTGAGGTCTGAGCCTCTGTGGAGAATTAGCTCCACTTGGGTGGATTCCCTTATTCGTTTTTCTTTTCTCTTTTTGTGCTAAAGAAAAACAAAAAGAGAGAAAAAGCAACAGTAAAGGATGGAACAGGTCAGTGACACTGTTGCTGTTTGGTTTAGCTAAAACACTCACCTGCTGCATTTAACTAAAAAAACAGAGAAATTAATCAAATTAAATTTTGGGATTGCACAGAACTTATTTATAATGCAGGTTGGCGACAATCACGACTTCTTCCTGGTAATCAGCTGTTTGATGTTTTCCTTTCTTTTGTGCCAAAGTTGAATAACGTCTCCAATAATTCAAACTTTTAGTCTGTGAGCTTCTCTGCATCCAGAAGTCATCCTGGAAATGATGACTGTGCTGAATGTTGTCAGCTCACAAACTTTGTAGTTTCTGTCTTGTGTCTGCTGCAGAAGCCAAAAATGATTGATTCTTAACAGGTTTTCTTGCTTTTCCTTCTTTGCGATGGTTTTTCAAATCCAATTTAAGGGAAAATCTCAAAATCTAAGCTTTTTATCATCAAAAAGTGACGTTCTTAAAGTGTTTTAATGCAATAAAATGGCAGATCAAAACATGTTTTCCCTCTTTGTGACATTTCTAAAACCTCGAGTTGTCTTCATGGGAGTTTTGAATGGATTTTCACTCAATCGGGTTTCTACATGAAAGCGTTTGTTGTTTTGCTGCTCCTGGCTCACAGAAAGCACACCAGTTGAGCTATTTCTAAGTAGAAATTAAAACGGGACAATGGCCTCTATTCCAGCAGGCTGCTTCAGTAATGTGCACAGGCTCTTTTAAGCTTGTGTGTGCGCTCGTATTCTCAGGGGGAACAATGCTGGATTCCTGCCGTCTTGCTGAAAAACATCTCAAATAGAGCCACGGCTGTGCCCGTCCCATACAATCAATTGTTGTCATCACTTTCTGTCACATTAGTGACATTTTAAATGTCCTTTATGGGCAGTGTTTATGTAAATACAGAGGATGCTCGGTCAGCGGAGAAGAAATGAGTTTCTAATAGGAGATTTACTGACAAAAAACAAAACCAGACTTATATTTTAGCCAGAAAGAAACTTTTTAATATCTTTCTCCAACCGAATGAAAATAAATATACATTTTAAAGATTAAAATTGTTTCTTGATGTCTTTTTCATAGAGAGTTGGATTGAAAGGTGCCTCAATGAAAGTGAGAACAAGCGCTATTCCAGCCACACCTCTCTGGGGAACATGTCCAATGATGAGCGTAAGCAGGAGGAACACTTCTACCTGTGTTGATCCAAATATCTAATACATATGCTCAGGATCTGAGTTTGCATGGATATGTTTGTGTCTCATTTCTAACATTTTATCCTCATAACTTGGTTTGTGTTGCCTTTTGCAGATGAGGAAAAAGAAAACAACAGAGCCTCTAAACCACATTCAACTCCGGCTACTCTGGAGTGGTGAGTTTTTAAAAACTAATACGGAGCTTTTCTTTTTATGTTGTACATAAAAGCAAGCAGAAGAGGAACGGGAGTGTGTTGAATCTGCTTGATGCATCATAAAATATGAAATAATGAATGTTAAAAGGATGTAAATGGTTTGTGGGTAATGACGAGCTGGCTGGTATGGAGCTATTAGTAACTCATAGGGTCTATCAGTCATGTCTGATCAGTTTTGGGTTCACACACACACACACACACACACACACACACACTTGCATCATTTAAATTTTCATGCGATATTAAAATCGGCAACAAATCTATTTTGTGTATATTGTGCCTTAAATGATTAGGTGATGCTTTATTAAAGTTACTTATTACATTATTAAGCATGAATAAAATATTAAATAAATTAACAGCTGCTGAAACTTAATGTTAATATTATGTAATGCACTAAGCAGGCACCCCTTGGCTCCTTGTCCTAACCATGACACTTAATAAGGAACAATATTGGAAACGTTAATAAAGGGACCCTTAGTTTCAAGTGTTATTAATGATGAAATAAAAATATGGATGTGCAAGTTCTTCATTCACATCTATGTAACGGTTTGTTTTCCTGTTTTAACTTTTCTTGAATTAATTTGGTGATAGGGGTGTGAGAAAATATCGATGGCCATTGGTCTTTTATGTTTACGGTGTGATGGAACAAAACTAAAATAACTAAATCATTAGATGCATTATCTCATGTGCTGACTAACATCAGTGATAAAAATTAGATACAGTAGTTAGTAGAGATGTAAGAAAAAAACCGGTATGGCAATATACCGCGATATGTTTTCCTGAGATATTATATCGATATTCAAAAGCCGTGTATCAAATTTTTTGGAATAATTTACACGCAGACATTTGTGTATTTTCTTTTCTTTTGCTGCAATTCAAGCACCGACCGCTAGTTGACAGCAGTGTGTAACGGGTTTTGTTTCCACCACTGAAATGTAAATCACTCTGTTATGGTTCAAATACCTCACGTTAAACATGTTATGTATCAGTTTGGACTGTTTATTGCTAACATCATCTAAAAATATCATGATATATCGTATCGTCTCCTCTGTATCAGGATACGTATCGCATCGCCAGAATTTCACCAATACACATCCCCATTTGCTAAATTTTCTGTAGTGAACTAAACCAATTACTGGAGATTTCTTTAGAGGAGAAAATTGGGCTGCTCAGAGTCGTTTTTTCTTTATGTTGGGCTGCAACATTTTTGGATTGCTTCCTGAGCAACAGAAAAAAACTCTTCAAGTGTTCATCTCCTTTAGCGTAATAATACTACTTTATGTAATGTAAAGTTCTGTGTTGAAGGTCTGACTGAAAGTTTAAATTAAGTCAAAAATGAACATAAAGTAAGTAAAAGTAATTACTATTGTTACCAGTACTATTTTATATAACAGTGCATTATATTATGCATGTGTACAACTGTAGTTTGTTCCATTAATTATCACTTAAACAATATATAAATATTGTTATGTGTAATATAAATAAACTTCTGTATCTAGAATGCTGTAAATGATGGTTTCATACATTCTGTTAATGAAAAGAAAACCATGGATATTAATCCAGTTTACACCTGTTGGACCTGTTGCTGGTGTACCTCAGGGCTTAGATCTTGGTCCTCTGTTGATCCTTTTCTTGTATTAATAAGAAAGCTCCATCAAAGCACTTTATTTGTGGAGACTTTTGGAGGCGGAAATAGTTTAGAACACATTCATGAAAACATATTCCCTTGGTGTTTGTCATTCATGAACTTTCAACAGTTCTTTATGTACAGAAACCGCTGAGTCATCAAACTTTGCATTTTGAAAATGACAGAAGCAGTCTTAGTTTTCAGCAGTTATTTAAAATGATTGATTTTAGATTTAAATCGTTCTGATTCTGAATGACTCCTTACTGAGGTTGTAAATCTGCAAAATTAGACAATAGAGTTTTTCTGTTGAATACACTTTTAGAGCATTTAGTTAATTCCTGGTGGGCAAGTTTGAGTTTTGGTAATGTGCACATCATTGTTTATATTTATTTGTGAGGAACCATGTACAAAAACATTAATTTCACAAGAGAAAAGATGCTTCGGACCAGATTTAGCTAAAGTCACTTTCCATCTTCAGAGCCAGAGCGAACAATACAGAATAAATATTAGTTCCTCCAAATAGAAAAACCTTTCTACTGTTACTAGTTCATATTTGGTACAAATTACATTTACTAAAAAGACAACCATGGCAAAGAGCCTGTATTTGTATAGTCTTCTTAGGGTTCTACAACCCCCAAGGTGCTTCACAACACCTATTCACACACACACATTCATACGTTGCTGGGGATGAGCTACGAGCCACAGCTGCCCAGGGGTGCACTGAACTAGTTCAAATACTTGATAATTAAAATCCCAGTGAAAATAAAACTAACAATAAATGTTCAAAAATGTCTTGATGTGAGATGTTTGGTATCTGAGTCCTGCTTTAGCATTTAATGTAATTTCTTAATGAAGCACCTTTAAAAGCCTAAATCTTGTACTTTTAGTTTCTCATTGTTGGTTCTTTTATATCACAGGACACCTTTTTACCAAAAGTGTCACGATGACTGGGGCTTGCTCAGATTCTGATCCTCTCGTGTGTGTGTGCGTGTGTGCGTGTGCATGTGCGCGTGCGTGCGTGCATGTGTGTGTGTGTGTGTGGTGTCCCAGGTTAGAGGAAAATTATGAGATAGCTGAAGGTGTGTGCATCCCCAGAAGTGCCCTCTACATGCATTATCTCGACTTCAGCGAGAAACACGACACGCAGCCCGTGAACGCAGCCAGCTTTGGAAAGGTGAGATGTAAACCTGCATCTACTGTAACTCAATCGCTTTTGAGCTGAAAATAGAGCCTAAATATTTACATTTCCTATTCCTTTGCTGATTCGTAGTGATGGAATTCAAATAGTGAACGCAAAGTGGCTCAGAGTAAGCCTCCAGTCTGACCAGTTCAGCCTGAGTTGGTTTGATGCTGCTGTGTTGAAGCTGCATGGACTCAGCGTGAACACATAATCTAGAGCCAAAGGAGATGTGCCGTCGTCTGTTCCCACAACCCCTACCAGTTCCTCGGCCTTGCTACCCCCGGCCGTCCCCTGTACCCCGGACTCCGGCCCCAGCCCCCAGCCCCCAAGCCCACCCCCGCCCTTCCACAGCTCCTGTCGGAAGATATTGAAAAAGAGAAGGGGCCTGGATTAATGTGTAATTAAAGGAAATTTGGAAGGGTGAGATGTTGCGGAATGTTAGATCAGTGGCTGGAGCAGTGTGGGGTGTCCTTTAGGAAGGCTTCATTGATTCGGGACAAAAAAACGAGAGAGGGCCCGGACTGCCTCCCTGTCTGCTCATTTATCAAGCGGGGGCCTGACAGAAACTTCACAGCTTGGCCTCCTTTTTCATCCCACACAATGGAGAGCTACACTGTTTGCTAAAGTTTCTGCACCAGGAGCCGGACTGAGGAGCCAATCTCTTCAGACAAAAAAAAAAAAGAGAGGAAAGGAGGGAGGGGAGATGGGGTGAGGATGGGTGAGGTGGCAGAAAGTAATATCATAAACGAGTGACCTCCATGTGGAAACGACACCTGACAAACTTTCTTCTAAATATCTAAAGACCCACGTTTAGCTAGTAAAGGCATTCTCATTTCTTACATTCGGTCCTTATTTCACCTGGTTTCACCTTTTTTGTGTATTTGTTAAACCGTTTCAGTTTAATGTTGATGTAATAAACAAAACAGTAACTGACTGCTTTTATTTTCTCATTTAAACAGATTATAAGGCAGCAGTTTCCAGCACTAACCACCAGAAGACTGGGAACAAGAGGGCAGTCCAAGTACGTTTACAGGGTTAGGGTTAGACACATAATGAGATTTTTAACAAATAAAACTGCAAACTCGCAATAAGCCAGCTCGTTTTTTACAGCTGAGATAAGTTAACTGGTAAAATCCATCCCGTGTGTCTGCTCCTCAGGTATCACTACTACGGCATCGCAGTGAAGGAGACGTCGCCGTACTACGACGTGATGTACTCCAAAAAGGGGGCGGCGTGGGTGAACGAGACGGGGAAGAAGGAGGTCACGAAGCAGACAGTGGCGTATTCACCGCGCTCCAAACTGGGGACGCTCCTGCCAGAGTTTCCAAATGTCAAAGATCTAAATTTGCCTGCCAGCCTGCCAGAAGAGAGGGTAAACTGGAGTTTTAAAAGTCCATACTTACACCCCACCACCACCTCTCCCCTACCATCTCACCATCTTCACCCCCCCACCCACCCACTGACTCTTTTATCTGGGGTTGTGTTGAGAGAAGGACCTTGAGGATTTATGTGCTGGCTCCTCACTAACTCTTAATCTTCGAGGGGAGATAATAAGATCTAGCGGTGGACAAAAGACGGGTACTAGCTGTCCGGCCTTTAAAAGGGGGCCATGATTTTAAATGGTTTGTGTTTTGCTGATCTCTAAAGCTCGTTTTAAATCACTCTGGACCTGTAACATGTATTTATTGGTTCACAGGCAGATTTATTCTCTTGTTTTTGCTCTACTTGTGTTCTCCGTTTCCCTCAGACGAAAGAGAAAGCTGCTTATTTTGTGCTGCAATTAGATTAATACCAAGTTGTTGCCTTCAGGTGTCGACGTTCATCATGATGTACAGAACGCACTGCCAGAGGATACTGGACACGGTGATCCGAGCCAACTTTGATGAGGTGAGGTTATTCGTGTTTTAAGCTTTGCTGCATTTTAGATTCAGCTTCAGCAGACATCAACATCACGTCTTGTGTGCCGCAGGTCCAAAGCTTCCTGCTGCACTTTTGGCAGGGCATGCCGCCCCACATGCTCCCCGTCCTCGGCTCCCCTACGGTGGTGAACATCGTTGGTGTTTGTGACTCCATCCTCTACAAAGCTATCTCTGGGGTTCTGATGCCCACCGTCCTGCAAGCACTGCCTGACAGGTCGGTGTCTTCACTCACGGCGACCTTTTAAACATCTCATTCTGCTGCAGTTGAAGCTGGTTATTTAGATCGTGTATTCGCTTCTCAGATCTATTAAGTTTACATAAACCTGCTGTGTTAATTAAAGCTGTTAATCATCAGTAATGAGTTAAGTTTATATGCATATTTCATGGACATGTTTTATTTATTTATTAGGATCTTTGTGCACAGCTCACACACTCATTTAGACTCCACTTTACTCTGACCAAAGTGTTATTTTAGTTTTGCAATCAATCCACGAAAATGAAAAAGCAGTGAAAGGGATTATTGGAGAGTAAACCTGTAGAAAAGGCTCAGAATAAAGTTTCTTTGGAGGTAAAGTCCGTTTGAGATTGAAATATGGATAAAAAATGTAGGACTCCGTTTGATTGGTTAGGGTGAGTCAAAGTGGCAACGTCCTCTCAGCTGTTTGGATAAAATAAAAAACACATTTAACCTTTAGTGGTAAACAAAAAAGTTTTAATCTGAGAAAATAGGATTTAGTCAAGTGACTTGCTCTTTTTTAAAGTCACTCCGCTGCATTTTCTCTGATTTCTTGTCATTTAGCATTTTTTTGAAGATTAAAAAAATAGCTGATCTTGTTCTCTGATCTTCCAGTAAAGATTTTAACTAATTCCACCAAAAACATTTTTTTCATTCATACATTCATGAAGACGTTTTTGTAGTTTTCCCCTCAGTTTCTTCATTTCAAACCTGCTCTTTATACGTGTGTGTGTGTGTGTGTGTGGGGGGGGGGGGTCCTAAAACCTGTATTTTATTAATTTTTTTTTTAGTTTGTTTGGAGATTTTTTATTGTAAGGACATAAATATTTTTATCAGTCTTGATAAAAGACTTTTTCTCTCATGAGAAACATATTTCTAGAGTCATCGGGTGAAATCTAAGAACTCTGTTGTTTCCTTTTCTTCAGTTTGACTCAGGTTATTCGGAAATTTGCCAAACAGCTGGATGAGTGGCTTAAAATAGCACTTCACGACCTTCCAGAAAACCTGAGGAATATCAAATTTGAATGTAAGTAAACAGTAAATCACAAATATGGGCCCCATTTACATTTTTTTCTCATAAAAATTCTGTTCTTTTTTTATTTCTAGTGTCAAGAAGGTTTTCTCAGATTCTGAAGCGGCAGACATCATTAAACCATCTATGTCAGGTGTCTGGTTTAGTCTGATCAAATCCCTACAATATAGAGACACAGGTGTTGTGTTCTAGCGTTATTCTTCTGTCCACAGGCGTCTCGGACTGTGATAAACAGCGCCGACATCACCTTTCAGATGCTGGAGGACTGGAGGAACGTTGACCTGAACAGCATCACCAAGCAGACACTTTACACCATGGAGGACTTGCAGGAGGAGCACAGGCAGCTTATTATGCACTGTAAGTAACGCAGGAAAACCGCGTCTGCTGAAACGCACCCCTGCGAGGGGAGAGTTGCACTTCACACCCACGTAAACAACACACTTGGGGACAATTATTCCCACGACCGGCCGAGTCAAAGCATTGACAGAGGAGGCCAGGAGGTTAAACAAGTTCGCTCTGCTTTCAAACGCCCTGAGGAGGACCGGAGCAGAGGTCGCTGATACGTACACGGTGCTGCCTCACGATGCTGTTTGAGCCGTTGAAGTTGTTGAAGCTCTCTTTCTCTCTCTCTCGTCACAGTGTATCAGGAGTTTGACCGCCTGCTGGAGGAGCAGTCCCCAATAGAGGCGTACATCGAGTGGCTGGACTCAATGGTGGACCGCTGTGTCGTCAAGGTGAACTTTTTCAAACATGACTCAGCACGTTTAAGCTGCACCAGCGAAGATGATGATATTAAATGAAGTGCACGCAAAGGTCTGATGATCTTCTTTGCAAGGACACCTCTGCATGTGTTCCCCTCACAGAGGCACCCAATCCTCCCAGTTAATGATGTCTTCAAGCTTCCCATTTGCGCCCATTATGTGCCAGATATGGGCTTGTAAAATTTGGTTGTCCTGGCAACGTCTTGCACCGCCCAGACAATAGTTCAATAGGAAGGCGTGTCCCTGGGGGCAAATTAAATAGTTGACTTGTTGACATGTTTTTCGTTCCTGAGGGTTAAGCTCCAATATGGACCCAGGGGTTAATTCTAGCCCGGCGTCCCCACCCTTCCCCCATCTTTTCTCATGGAAATGTTCTTTCTAGGTGGCGGGGAAGAGGCCTGGGTCGCTGAAGAAGGTGGCCCAACAGTTCCTGCTGATGTGGTCGTGTTTTGGTACCAGAGTCATCCGGGATATGACCCTCCACAGCGCGCCGAGCTTTGGTGAGTCGCTAATGCCTCTTCATCACTCTTCTTCTTTGTGGCATCCCGCCTAACATCAACCCAACATCTGAGTAGAAGTCATGATGACATTAATTACTATTACACTAACTAAGAGTTCAGAATGATAATAAAGATAAAATAAAACAGATTCTCTTCTCCTGTCTACCAAAGCCACAACTGGTTTTTTCTCTGCACAAACAGCTAATTAACAAAAGCCGCCCTCCCCACCTCCCAGTGTGCGTGTTTTTTTTTTTTTTCCATTTTACGACCAGTCAGTATTGCACCCTGCTCCCCTGAATGGCCACAAGTGTTTTTACTATTCACACAGCGGCAGCAGCGAGCGGCACAATGACACAGTTGTGATGACACTCCCTCACATGCCTCGGCCTCCTCTTTCCTGTGACCCAGGGGTCAGCGAGCTCTGAGTCGCCGCACAGAAACGAGCGCACATGCTCCTTTTTTTATTAACAGCTACTTTCCCCATTTTGCTGGAAGTGATGTCATCAAACACATTTAGACTGTCTCAGCGAGCAATTTTTTTGTTTTATTCTACATATTTCACGTGTGTGTGTGTGTGTGTGTGTGTGTGTGTGCGTGCGTGCGTGCGTGTGCAGGATCCTTCCACCTGATCCACCTGATGTTTGATGATTACGTGCTCTACCTGTTGGAGTCCCTTCACTTCCAGGAGAGGGCCAACGACCTGATGAGAGCCATGAAGGGAGAAGGAAGCACAGGTGAGGCACCAGCAGCATTAAAATATGTTTAATTTTCTTGATTTCAAAATAAATATATTTTTTAAATAAATTATTATTTTAAACAAGCTGCCTAAATAAAGCTGGTTATTGCCAACATTTAAAAAAAGAGGATACAAAAAAGTATTTTAGTTTGTCTAAAGTGATTTTATTTTATTTTATAATATATAATATATTGAATTTCAATTGAAGTTAATCAGTAGTTATTAGGTTAGGCATCAGTCAGTTCTGATTTAAAGCTGTTAGCCGCAGAAACACAATGATAACATTTTTATTGTTTTCTGGCTTTTTTTTAAATCCAGACATTGAGTAAAAGCCAATCAGAACAACAATCACATGCAGTAGTAAGTTTTTAAAATGTTTTTATTTCAGTAATTTTTCAAGCATGCGAGTGAAACTCAAAAAGGTAAAACTTAATTTGTTTCCTAAATTCTTGTTTCCTAATATGAGATGGACTCGTTCCATGCAAAGCCAGACATTTTACGCCTTTATTTGTTATAAGTGGGATGATTATGGTTTACAGGTTATGAAAAGCCCAAATTCAGAATATTATGAAAAAGTTCAATATTGTAGGCTCAAAGAGTCACACTCTAATCAGCTAATGAATCCAAAACACCTTCCTGAACCTTTAGATGGTCTCTCAGTCTAATCTAGTTACTGAAATAAATCAGGGTATCCGCGGGTCCTTAAAAAGTCTTAAATTTGCTTTTCCAAATTTAAGGCCTTAAAAATCCTTAAAAATTATAAATAATCCTTAAATACAGTTTCCAAAGTTCTTAAATTACCAAAGACCCAATAAACAAGATTATTTTATTTCAATTTTCATGAATTTCTAGTTAGTGTTCAGCATTTTTTGTGTACGATGTTGGCGTAAGCGGAACCATACACATTCAGTTGGTTATGAAAGGGGGCTTTTTTAGATTAGCACATTAGCTGTTTAAGCTAGTGGGAGATTGCGCCATGGGGACGTGCAACTTTTATGGTAACTGGATGGCTATTCCCATGTTCGCAACGTGGTTAGCACCGGTTCCAGGCAATAGCTGGAAATTATAGTTTAAATTAAATTTTAAAAAATAGCTTAAATTTGGTCAAAGTGGCCTTAAAAGGGTCTTAAAAAGTCTTAAATTTGGCTCCCTTAAACCTGCAGATACCCTGAAAATGCACGCTCTCATTTTTCCAGTTTCACCTGTAGAGATCAGTGTTCACAGTCAGAAGGGTTTTGTTGCCATATGTGCGAGAATCACAATAAGAAATCGCTGCGGTACTTGGTGCAAGAAAGACAAAATAAATGATAAGAAAATTTTGAGTTAAGATATAAACACAATTAAAAGATTACTATATACAAGCTACTATGTACAAGTCGGAACTGGTCAGAGCGGGCCAGTTCAGGTGCAAACACAACAGTAGTGTCATGTGACTGGAACAAGCAACTGGAGTGGGCAGTTCTATGATTGACATTCATGAGTCCGACCGCAGAGGGGAAGAAACAGTTTTTGTGGCGAGAGGTTCTGGTTCGAATGGATTGGAGCCTCCTGCCAGATGGGAGTGAGTCGAAGAGACTGTGTCCAAGGTGACACGGGCCAGCCGTGATCCGACCTGTACACCTCAATGTCCTGGAGGTGTGCAGGTCCTGCAAGGAGGGGAGTTTGCAGCCAATGACCTTCTCAGCAGAGAGCACGATTCACTGCAGTCTCTTCATGCCTCTGGTGGTGGCTCCAGCATACCACACGGTTTAGGAAACACTGAATTTTTTCGGTTTTAGTTTTTCTTCTTTGTTCCCATCAGTGATAAACTAGTCATTTCCAGCTGTTATACAAATATTTAATGTACATTTTTAATGTGTAAGATGACAAACCTCAAATTATTTCAGAATGAGCCCAACATCCACTCAGTCCTGTCCCGTAATAGATGTATTACTCATTTATTTTTCCTTCACATTTAAGATACGCTTGGTCTTTTCCTTTTTAGACTTTCAGACACTAAACGTCCATCTTGATTCTTTCAGCGGAGCGAGAAGAAGAATTCACGCTGACAGAAACCACCCCCACCTCCCAGTCTCCCGGATCTTACTCTCCCGCCCGCTCGGTCCAATCCATTGACGTCTCCTCGGCCGGCTCCCCCACAGCTGCCTTGTCCCCAGAGTTCACCGGGGTCACCGCCACCTCCACAGGTGAGGCCAGACTCAGCTCTTTAGTGGGTTTCACAGCAACCTAGCTGCTCTGGGCCAACACATTTATGTCTGTGTCTACTAGGCGCTGTTCAGTCATATACCTGGTCCCTCACATACACAGTGACAACAGCAGGCGGGTCTACTCCGGAAACCGGACAGCAGCTGTCCTGCATGAGGAGCAGCGCTCCCGTCCCCCCTCCATCCTCCACCCACAGGATGCCGGTGTACAGGGAGGAACACGGGTGATTACGACCGTTCAAATACTCTTAAGGGTAGTTTTGAAATGTCTGAAATTCTTTTAATAGTTTTTTTGCATTTGTAGATACACCGGTAGCTACAACTATGGCAGTTACTCCAACCAGCACCCCCACTCCATCCAGAGCCAGTATCCAAGCCTGGGCCATGATCCTCCCATCCCCGCTCCCCTTCACTACTCTGCCTACCACCGCTCATCTGCACAGGTCAGAGATGCCAAATCTCCCCAAGTCCTAAACGAATGCTTCATTTCTTAACTAAAACTTTAAATGTGGGAAAAGAATAAAAAGGCAGAAAGACACATAATTCAAATAATAATAATCTGCAAATTAACTTAAACTTTAGAAACATTCACATAATGAGCAGCGTTCACTTTAAAATGATGTATTTATTAAAAAAAAATTACACTGTTGGATTATTTTTACTGAAAGTTTATGCTAATTTTGCCGTGTGGTTTAAAGGTTTCTTACTTTAAAAAGTCATTTTTTATGTTCTAAATACACATTCGCAGCCAATTTATTTAAAATTTCTTTCTAAAAATGTTCATGCTAATTTTGTACAGTAGATGTAAAAAGTTGCATTATTTGACGAAATAATTGCCTAAAAAAACAAAATTACTTCATTAGTCATTTACATTGGAAGCTTTAAGTATGGGTTATGGTTAGGGTTAATTGTGATTTAAAAAATATGTCATCATAAGGTGAAACTGTTGCATGAACACAATTTCAAACATTTTAGCTGCAAACGTGCCAGATTTCTGAAAAGTCATCAGAAACTGTGTGTAAACATTTGTAGGCAGATCAGGAACATACAAAGCCTCTCAGCGTCATAAGAACTGTGTTTTTCAAGGGAAAATTCTGTTTTTCAGCAAAGATTTGGTCTGTGATGCTACAACTCGGGGTATATTTTCTCTTTTGGAGGTAATTTCCTGCTGAGGGTGCTCCAGCCTCCGCTGTCTTCATGGTGGGAGGAGATCAGCTGGACCTCAGCGCTCACAGCGTTTGTAAAAGTCCCTGAATCAGCGGAAGCCAACTGTGAAAGGTGGCTTGGCGGGGGCCAAGAGGGGGCCCTGCTCGGTTACTCTTCTTCCCAGCTCTCAATGGTCTCTTCATCTGTTTGAGCCTGCAGCCAAGGAGCAGGGCAAAGGGGCGTTTATTAAAATATTGTTATTCAATGGTCTCTTTTCTGCTTGTGAACAAGAGGCAGCTGAGGAGTCTGTTCTGCTCTGACTGTCTTTTTCCATGCTGTGATCCCTCATAAAAGAATCGACTGTCGTGTTTATATTTAGCGAGGAAAAAGGAAAAAAGGGGTCCTACTTCCACTTTTCCTTTTTTTAGTACCCGTCTGAGCTTAAATGGGGCACAATGCCTGCACATTGTCAGTGTTAGAGGTTGGACACGGAGCTGAAAACTCTGCCGGATCTCCGTCTGGTCAGAGTGTTTGACTCAGAATCCGTCCTGGCTGCAACAAAAACAGCAGAAAGCCAGTTTAGAATGACAACCCCCATTTTCATAAGTGGTTTAATTTTCTATTTTGGCCACTTTTGGCACAATTTATGAGGCAATTTCCCCCGACAGGAAATTACTGATTGCAGGCTGAGCCCTGATCCAGAGGACACTGAAGTTATGTCTTCTGTTAGAGTGAATATGTAAAAGAAGGATGCTTTTATTATTGTTTTTATTTAATTTAAAGCTCTATCAGTCTGATTTAATAAGTGCTAATCACTCGTTTCCTTCTCTTGCTCAGTACCAACTCAACGGCCAGATGTCTCGAATGGAGCCCTGCCTGATGGGCACTACTCCTCGATTGCACCCCACGTCTGTCGCCCCGCGCTGGCCAGATGTGTCTCCTGCTAACAGCTGTTATACCAGCCCGCCTATGCATTCATCCCGTTATGCCAGCTCCGGGGACATGTACTCTCCTCTGGGCCCGCGCAGGAACTCTGAGTACGAACACTCGCAGCATTTCCCCGGCTTCGCCTACATCAACGGGGAGGCCACAACAGGCTGGGCCAAATAGTCTTAAAACTTTGACTTTGGACATCTTTAATACAATCTCCAGGCCCAGTAAGCTGGCAGCTGCGTTCAATCAAACGTATCAAAACAAAAGAAGAGGAGCCAGCATGAGGGGGAAGGAGGACAAGCCGCGCTGATGGTGGTGTCATTTTCAGCAGAGGTTTATTAAAGAAGATCAAAATTAGCAGCAAAATGATCACGAGTGCAATGATGCTGCCATGCCGTGCCTTTGTTTAAGGGAATGTACACTTCCAACGGAGTTATCTTGTTTGATCTGAACAACAACATCCAGAAAAACCACATTCTGTTAGTGGATGTACTGGCACCAGTACAGTCCCAGTGACTGCAGGTCTTTCTGGTGTTGCTCAACACTGTGCAGAAATGAGCCTTAACCATCTTGGGACACCAGATATCTGCGTCTGAGTTGACATCCATCGATGTTTTAAGGTGTTTCCAACTTGGATTTTTTATTTTTATTTTAAATAATTCAAAACATCAAATGTATTCTGTTGCAACCTCTCCTGCTGTTTGTCTGTGACTTTATATCTGTATATCTATATAGAAATATGCATATATAGATATATAGGTAGAGATATATAAACTATGTATTTTCTGTAACTTGGTGTACCTTTTCCATTTTAAACTGGTACATTGTCTCTGTTTTGTATGGGTAGTAATGGATGCATTAACTTAGGGTTGTGTGTTTTATAATGCACTCAAATCTACTGAGGACCTATTACCCTATGGGTATTTATAAAAAGGGAAATATCAAAGTGTACAGTAAGTAACATGAAGTATAGTCACTTTTTCTCTGTAAATAAAAGCACTGGAACACATCTGTGGTGACGGTTAAACTATCACTGATGTGTATGTTGGAGTTATTCTGTCCCATATATGAGTTCTCAATTTAAAATGGTGAGTTGTTGCTTGTTTTTTTTTTTCCTCTTTTGTCTGTAAAGAAATCACAATTTCACACTCTAAAATCACCCTGCTGTGCTAGAGGTCCCTGCATCTCAGACCTCTAACCCCTTCAGGATTGTATATTAGAAAAATAATCTTCCTTGCTGAATCTCGCAACTGAGACTCTGAATGCAGATGTAAGAAAAACAACACCAATCTACCCTTGTTGTGATTTAATCACCTGACCCGCGTGTCAACGTCAATTTCCTCAATATTTTCTTCTGGCAGCTGTGAGGACTGCTCTGCCACATCTATTATCACCACAACATCACAGGTAAATAAAAGGGTGGTTTATTTAGGTGCTTAAAATAAATACAAAAATTAAACGGGTTTGCTTTAATCCTTAAAGTAAACTAAAAAATTCAATTCAAGTAATCAAAAACGAATAGTACTACACAGTTTTTTTATTTCCTTAGAAGTAATACCACTCAGTTTTATTATTCAAGTGTGTTGATTGTTTATCAACTTGCAAACATTAAAAACCATGACATTTTACCACTAATAGATGTGATAAAATCGTCTGGACCTGTTGTATACAAACCAGACATTTGAAATCAACTTTAAAGAAAAAGTAGAAATGCAAACTTGCTACCTACATTTTATAAGAAATAATCATTTATAATAAACAAGTAAAATACAAAGATATATAAGTTTGATCGGGCTGTTTCTGTATGAACTTTAGTAGTCACTGAGCTCAGAGCCTTGCTGCTGCTGGCTCTAAAGGCTGATGGAGACAGGGGAGTTTCCCTGGCTGACAGCTGCGCGCATTACTGGGTTAACTCCTCACCGCTCTTCCGGCGCGTGATTCGGCTAGAAGCTCTGATGAACGCATGGACATAAATGCGCGTCTCCGTGCGGAAGTAAAATAAGTTTACGATGTGGAATGAGGTGTTACTATAGAGCAGGGACGATACGACTAGAGCAAACTGCGTTTACTATGTGATGCTGTGTCTGAGCGTGGTAATTCGCACAAACCGCATGAAACGTTGTGTAAATTCCGCCCACCGCGTGCGCCTGCGTCTAAATGGTGTGGACCCACTGACACCAACTGCCTGCAAGCTAGCACTGAGACGTCAAACTAAGCTTGCTGAGCTCGGTATTCACATCATGGATTTGAACAGCATCCTGTCCCAGCTTGAAACCGCAAACGAAGAGGATGTAGAGAAGCTTTTGCACCGGTACAGTCAGGAAGTAGGTCACAAGTTAGCGTATATACATTTGCATTTAAACTATATAGCTTTAAAAAATCAAAACAAACAAGCTAGCTATCGCTATAGCTATCTGATCTGCTAAGCTTTAAGTTAAACCTCAGACCAAGGAGCTGAGCTGAGATTGAGGGTTTGTCAGATGGATTTATTTTATGGTTGAACACATCACTAGGATTCTGTGAGTGAACCTATCTGGATCGTTAGCTGTTTACAGTAGCAACTTAGCCGAGAGGCTAACAGTGACTTCTCTTGTTTTGGTGAAAAACGTTTCCCTGTGTCTAGTGAATTTGGCTTTAGTTATAAAAGTGCATTTGAAGTCTGCTTTATGTCAGATTAACTCTCTAAGTTTCTAAACATTTCTTTTTTTCTGTTGCAGAACACCAAGACCTTCACGTTCGACCAAAAGGAAGAGTCCCTGCGCAGTGTGAGTGCCTTGTAGGCTGTAATTAGATGAAGTGATGTCTGATATGTCATCATGACTGCGTTTTTCTCTCTGTGCTCACTCAGAAACTGTGTCAGCGTGTGCTGACGATCCTCAGGAAACAGACACGGCCCAGCTGTCAGAAAGCATGTCTGGAAACACTCCGCATCCTGTCCAGAGACAAGCGTGTCCTGGCACCTGTGGCCACCAGGGAGGGGATGCTGGTGCTGACCAACCTGGCAGGGCTGCAAGCAGGACCAGAGGAGGCGGATCACAACCAGAAAGCCTCCACACAGTCAGAGGAGGAGCTGAGAGTGGTGGTGGAGGCTTTAAAGTGCCTATGCAATGTGGTGTACAACAGTCCAGCAGCTCAACAGGTGTGTGTAGACATACAGCTGGCTCGTGGTCTGTGTGCCAGCCTTCACACTGCCCGCTCATGGCACCACGAGGTGGGCCTATTCATACTGCGGCTGCTCTTCCTGCTGTCCGCCCTCCGACCTGACGTGAGAGGAGTTCTGAGGAAAGATTGCCATGCTGTGAGATTACTAGCAGAGGTGCTGGAGCACACCCTGAATGTGCGCTGGGTCGGTACCTATGAAGCTGCTCGTACAGATCCACAGGCCCTGCCTCTACCTGCAGAGAATAACGAGCGTGCCATGGAGGCTCTCAAAGCCTTGTTCAACCTCACACTCACTGAAGTCCGTGATGAGGTGAGGAAACGGGACGGGATTTTCCGAGATGTGATTTGGTTTTACGGCAAAAGATAAAACCCTGATGAGAAGTTTAGCGTGATCTGGGGAGTCTAAAGGCCATGACAAAACTTTTGAGCTTGGATATTGACTCTTTGGTGTGTTGCAGATTATTAAAAAAATATTCTTAAAAATTTGCATTCAGCAAGGGAGTGGCAAGGGGTTCCCAACCACTTTTTTTAAATTAAGAAATACTTTACTCCCAAGATTCACGCTACGATTACAAGATGTCACTATTTATCCTCTGTATGACAGAGTGACAGAAGTGCTGTGGTTAGTGGGGGATGTTTTTAAAACTTGTCTGTGAATTTTCACGCTGTTTAAGCTGAGGAGATATTGAACTTCTAACACTACGTAAGTCCAAATAGCATCACATTTAGTTGATCTGCTACTAGAAATCCAGATGTTTTATCCCGTTTTCACTCCTCTCTGCTGCTGAGGCTCTCATAGATTAATTTAAAAAGTTTCAGTGGGTTTTTTTTTTTTTGCCTTTAGAGCTTTTACCTCCATTCCCCTTGTAGGTTTAAATTTTTTCAACTTTATCGATGACGATAAACAAGATTTTCTCTCTGGACTCTTTGTGCATGTTCTTCTTGACAGGAGGACAACCATCAGTTCCGACTCATCGCTGCCATCCTGCGTCACCTGCTGATGCTCAAAACTGAGACGGAGGATAAAACGGAAGAAGCACACAGGTAGGAATCTGATCGGGTCTGTAAAGGGACGGAAAAACACGACACGACACAACTTCATAAACTAACTGTTTTGTTACGAATGTGGGCTGTTGGAAACTTTATAACAGCCATCCAAAATGTAGCAGCATCGTCTCCCTTTTGATGGAAGGTTAAAGCAGGAATGTCAGGAATTTGCAGCAGCAGACTTGTGAAAGTGACTGACGATCCATGCTTTCATTCTTTTTTAAACACAGAAACAGTTTTGTTTACCTGTTTGTAGCTACAGTTTCGCCGACGGCTGCCGGCTTCTTCAGGCTGACGCTGATGGTGGCGCGTCACTTCCTTCTCCGTTTATCTGCGGGCAGCAGAGGACGTTGTCGCCCTCTACTGCCCGCTCTCCCCTCTCCGACGATGCAGTCCCATGCGTGGTCCAGCGTGTAAACTCCGTCGTCCCTGTTCATGGTCCCACATCCACGTCTCCTTATCTCGATTGCTTCCTTGATCCATCTTTTGTATTTTTGTTGTTCGGTGGTTATGATCCGTGTGTTGTCCCAGTCCATTATATGGTTTTCTCTTAAGCAATGATCTGTTACGGCTGACTTTTTTATTGTACTTTCTGGTTCTTCTTTTGCTGCTCTTGTGTGTTTACGATTTGCCTCTTTCTCGCATTCCTTTCTGTGTTCTATTGTCCGTGTATTGAGTTGGCGTCCGGTTTCTCCTATGTATGTTTTATTGCATATTTTGCATGGGATTTCGTAGATGACTCCACATTTTTGTCCAGCTGATATTTTGTCTTTTGGGTGTACTAGTCTGTTTCTAACTGTTGTGTATGGCTTTGTTGGTGTGTTTATGTTGTGTTTTTTCATTGTTGCTCTTATTTTTTCCGTTATGCCTCTGATGTATGGTAGGGTTATCACTGGTTTTGGTTCTTGTCTTTCTGGGTTTCTGGTTCTTTTTTTGGGTTGTTCTTTGCTTTCTGTTTTTGTTTGTTGTTTTCCTTTGTTTATTGCCCATGTCGGGTATCTGCAGGTCTTTAAAGCGTGTTGTATGTGTTTGTCCTCTTGTTTACGGTCTCTCTCTTCTGTTATTATGTTTGCTCGGTGATATAATGTTCTGATTACTGACATTTTGTGTATGGTGGGGTGTTCTGATGTCCAATATTGACGACACGGGCAACATAAAATTCACTTATGAGTTAGAAACAGAAGGCAGCATAGCATTTATGGACATGAAAATCACCAGACAGACCGACGGGACCCTAAACATAAACACATACAGGAAACCAACACACACAGACCAATATCTATTATGGACATCAGAACACCCCACCATACACAAAATGTCAGTAATCAGAACATTATATCACCGAGCAAACATAATAACAGAAGAGAGAGACCGTAAACAAGAGGACAAACACATACAACACGCTTTAAAGACCTGCAGATACCCGACATGGGCAATAAACAAAGGAAAACAACAAACAAAAACAGAAAGCAAAGAACAACCCAAAAAAAGAACCAGAAACCCAGAAAGACAAGAACCAAAACCAGTGATAACCCTACCATACATCAGAGGCATAACGGAAAAAATAAGAGCAACAATGAAAAAACACAACATAAACACACCAACAAAGCCATACACAACAGTTAGAAACAGACTAGTACACCCAAAAGACAAAATATTAGCTGGACAAAAATGTGGAGTCATCTACGAAATCCCATGCAAAATATGCAATAAAACATACACAGGAGAAACCGGACGCCAACTCAACACACGGACAATAGAACACAGAAAGGAGTGCGAGAAAGAGGCAAATCGTAAACACACAAGAGCAGCAAAAGAAGAAGCAGAAAGTACAATAAAAAAGTCAGCCGTAACAGATCATTGCTTAAGAGAAAATCATATAATGGACTGGGACAACACACGGATCATAACCACCGAACAACAAAAATACAAAAGATGGATCAAGGAAGCAATCGAGATAAGGAGACGTGGATGTGGGACCATGAACAGGGACGACAGAGTTTACACGCTGGACCACGCATGGGACTGCATCGTCGGAGAGGGGAGAGCGGGCAGTAGAGGGCGACAACGTCCTCTGCTGCCCGCAGATAAACGGAGAAGGAAGTGACGCGCCACCATCAGCGTCAGCCTGAAGAAGCCGGCAGCCGTCGGCGAAACTGTAGCTACAAACAGGTAAACAAAACTGTTTCTGTGTTTAAAAAAGAACGAAAGCATGGATTTAGAAAGACACAGCAAGAACACACCTAAGATGACTGACGATCCTCTTGAACTCCCATGCTGGTGGCAGAGATGGTCATGGAAGTTTGACCCATTGACCGGCATCTTTTTTAGTTTGCTTGAATGAGAGCCTGGGACAAAACATGGCTGAACAGGAGGGAGGACCTAAAAGGAGATGTTGTTTTTTTTTCCCCCTGATACATTTGGATAGTTGTATCTGCCAGGTCTACAGACAAACCGATATATAAAGTAACTTTTTCTCCCCATTTTAAAAGATTTCATCTCTTTCTAAGTCCATGTTTGATGTGTTTGCAGCCATGCTGTTAACCTGCTGAACAACCTGCCCGTGTCCTGCCTGGACGTGCTGATCGACACTCCCGTTCAGGGCGGGCAGGAGAAGTATGGCGGTAAAAACATAGAAGCTGTACAGGTACTACTGGACTTCATGGAGAAGAGAATCGACAAGGTAAAGTTCATCTTCCACAATAACCACAGGTGTTATTTTAAATTTGCTTACATAAGAACTGCATTGAAGCTGTGAAATAGATAAATTTAGGCAAGGATTCACTCCAGTCTTTTGCAGCTGTCCTGGCATACCGCCATAAAGCAGCTTTAGGGAAACAAACAGAACTGTTTGTGGTCTGTTTTGCTCCACGCAGGGCTCCAACTACAAAGAGGGTTTGACTCCGGTGCTCAGCCTTTTAACAGAAGCGTCCAGGTGTCACAGGGAGCTCCGCAGATACCTCAAAGCTCAGGTGACGCCACCTTCAGAGACTCTGGAGAGAAATCAGCTGATGATTTGTGGCCTTTTTTATCGTATAAATGGGAAAACGCTCGGATATTAGACGTTCCTGCTCTGGTTTCAGGTACTCCCTCCACTAAAAGATGTGAAGAGCAGGCCAGAAGTTGGCACCACCATCAGAAACAAACTGGTTCGCCTCATGACGCATGTCGACATGGGAGTGAAGCAGACGGCCGCGGAGTTCCTCTTTGTCCTCTGTAAAGAGAGCGGTGAGTTAGTTTGAGTGCTGCAATGAGACACGGCGCATCAGAAAAACGTGTGTGACATTTTCTACGTGTGATGTCACCGTTTAGTGGACAACCTGCTGAAGTACACGGGCTACGGAAACGCAGCGGGACTCCTCGTGGCTCGAGGGCTTCTGGCAGGAGGGAGGGGAGAGACTCAGTACTCCGAAGATGAAGACTCGGACACAGAAGAATACAAATCTGCCAAACCTTTGTGAGTGATCAACACCAACTTATTTACCGTTGTTTTTGAGCACGGAGAATATAAACCCGGCTCTTTGATCCCCCCCCAGCATCAACCCCATTACTGGTCATGTGGAGGAACCCATGCCAAATCCCATTGAAGACATGACGGAGGAGCAGAAGGAGTATGAAGCTGAGAAATTGGCCAATATGTTTGACAAGTTGTCAAGGTAACATGCTGAAGTCTCGTTTTCCCTGCAGAGAAAAGTAGAATTAGTCATAAAAACACCAGAGAACGGCACCAAACTACAGGATTCTGCTCAAAACTGAAAATGTTTCTGTTGTTTCTTCTCAAATGAGGCTGCAGCCATGTTTGTGTTGACCTTTTCCTTTCAGACCAATGTTACCTGCAAAAAGGTGACGGGGAGCTTGCTCCCTGCCAACCGCTTCCTCCAGAGAAGAATCTCCCGCCGCTCAATTAGGCCTCGACTCTCAGCCTGCCGCATTCAGCCGGGCTAAATGGGAGCTTTTCGGCGTGCCGCCGCAGCATCATTACCACCTCCACGTTAATTGTCGCCTAATTGGCCGACGACTCGTCGGCTCTGGTGCCTTTATGCGCCTCGTCTGGGTTTGTAATAACGCACGTTCTGACTTTACTCCATGCATTTGAAGCGCCAGTCAGATGGAGGCAGAATTAGACAAACCAATTTGGGAGGAACAAAGAGGAAAAAGACACGGCTGAATAAACGTGGAAGGAAGCGGAGTGTGTCATTGTTAGGCCGAGAGGACGTTAGGCTGTAATGAGGCACGTGTGTTCAGAATGAGAAGATTCCTCTCCAAGGTTGCGTCTTCTTTCTTCTCTTCCTCGATGAAGACTACAGGTGCTACGGAGATTGCTCGATGCCCGGCAAGAATGCTCCTCCAATTAGCACCTGCCAAACCCTCCAGTCACCCCTGGAGGGGACAGATGAGATGTTGTCAGCTCTTAATTGGAAGTGACCATATACGCGATTTTATGGATTTTACCTGCTCAGTCTGCAGGTGGGTTTTAAATGTTACCGCCACGCCTGAACGTGGCGTTTTTCCCGCATTAAATCCCTCCAATCATGAGGGAACTTCTGAGTTTGAACCTGTCAAATGAAGGCAAATGGGTCCCTTCTTAAATGTTTGATGGATGTTTCTCAGATGAATCATCTGAGAGGGAGTGGTGACACACAGTGCAGGTATAATTGGATTAGGATAAAGGGGCATTGGCGGCTTTGAGGAGATTAGTGTGAGCACTGATCCTGTAATTAAACTGCAACAGGAAGGCAGAGGAGGGGAGCTGGGCCAGAGGGATGGCCAGACTTGGCCGATTTTCCATAAAAGGGTTCAGATGGAGGGTCCTCGAGTTGTGTATGAATAAGAGCAAACAAGTCCAAGTTTAAGCCCTCGTTAAGGCCGTCCAGTGATACAAAAGCACCTGAATTTAAATGTGTTCTATTATTAGTCCTCGTTTTCTCTCCACAGGCAGAACCTGATTCGGCCGATGGGCGTCCGGCCGGATGGGACATTAGCGCCTCTAGAAGAAACTCTCTGTGATCCACCTGAGGACAACTCTGAATCCGACTCGGACTAGCGCACCAGGCCTCTTTTCCCCAGACAGGAGTCCACCGGGGCCTAGGCACATCCAGATCTGTCCCAGCTCCTCTGGTGGATCCTCAGCGGTGGGCCCAGAATCTGTCATCTTCAGACAAAACTGTTACATGCTGCACTTATTTATGACCTGTTAAAGTCCAGTAGGAGGTGAGATGGTAGAAGTGTGATGTGTTTAAGGTCCTGGCCCACATTCTGGTGCGTTAAAGATAATAAAAACATAGATTGACTTTATCTGTACAACTATGACATTTATATCTACAACTTTGCAGGGTTAATCATTCTTTGGTGTGTTTCAGTTATATACTATTTTCATTTTAAACGATGACAGAAAAGTTTCAGCACACAGCAGGTGGACAGCAGTAAACCGAGGGCTGCCACATCAGGATGTGTTCAGGTAACATGAGAATGGTGATCCAGTCCTGAAGTGGGACACAGCAGAATATTTCCCAGGAGTCTCCGTAGCGACCACACACCCTCTGAGACAGCTGTAAGGTCGTAGGGGAGGTAAATTTAAGAGCCTTTATGGTTGCTGTTGCATCACAAGCTGAGAAAACATGAATATTTTTTGCTGGATTGTTAGTTTTTATCTGCAGACACTGTTGCTAAGGTTTGAATCATTCCTTCACGTGTACTTCATTTATTCCACTTTTGAGTTTATCGATAGAATGCGCATCACGTACAACTTCGAAAATAACGAACGTGGTAAAGACGGTACAGGAAAGTGCTCCTTTCATCTGAAATCATGCTGCTTGGTGGGATTGGAGGAAGCTGGACACCAGTGCATCACAAGTCCAGAGCTTACTTCGTCCTTTCCTGTCGTGAATTTTGACAATATAAACTTTATTTTAAATTTTTCTACATTTCTTTTGCCAAATCTGCATGTTAAATGGGAAGTTTTCCAATTATCTGTAATTGAAACATTTTTAATAAGCATTTTATTGGTCAGCAGCATGATTAATGACATTTAACACCATTTTAACCAGAGAAATGTTTCGTAGTGAGAAATCACAAGCACAGCTCACCTGTGAATCACTACTGCCTGTTCACACCTGAGTTTACTGATGCTTTTTAATATGAGTCTTGTATTTGTTTTGTAAAGAAATTGATTCTAGACCTTTTTGGGTTTCTAATTGGGTTTTGGACGAGTTTGTTTTTGCTACGTTTGTTTTGGGGTACATTAAAAGCTGCATGTATCTGAGGGAGTTCTGTCCTTTTTGTTGTTTTTGCACACAGTAGGTAGAGGATTCCACTTAAAGTTAAATAAAGTGGAAACCGAGAACGATAGTCTTCTCCGACTCAAACTTTGTTCCACAAAAGGAGCTGATTAGAAAAATCTTTATTAAATAACAGCATTGATTGATTTAAAACATTTGACATAGAAAAATCACTTTTTAAACTTGATAAAATATTCTATATACACATACATAAACACAGAAGAGCCAGCAGGGCATTTGAAGAGTTATTTGCTGGCGTTAGACGAGGCTGAGCTCTTGCTGTCCGTCTCAGAATCGGGTTCTGCTTCTTCAGATTTTCGGCTCAGATTAAAGGTTTGATCTTTCTGAGGTGAGATGCTCACCGGTGCAGGGATGCTCTGCAGGGAAGACATTACTCAAATATAAAATTCTAATGAAAACAGAAAAAAAAAAGTTTCAGAGCAGAACCCACCAACGCTTCCCGATCCTTCATCATTTCTTCTATTTCACCATTCCAGCCGAGGAATTCTGCAAACCTTCGGATGGTTTCTGCCAGATCTCCTAGCTCCATGTGGTCCCGCCTCCGCAGGGGGACCCTCTCAAAGGGGCCCACGGCGTGCCGGTTAAGGAGGAGACGAGGCACGGAGGAGCCCACTGTATTCACCAGACTGGCAAACGGCTCAATCTGAAACCGGAGAAACGTTTGTGGCACCACAAAATGCCACAGTTTGATTTGAGGAGGTGCAAAATGCTGTTTACCTTTAGAGATGTGCCCATGATGATGAGCAGGTCTGCTTTTGGGAAGTCTTTAGTGTGGAGGAAATACTTCTGAGGGAGGTCCTCTCCAAAGAACACAACATCTGGTTTGACTGTTGCGGCGCAGAAAGAGCACGTGGGAACGTTGTCACTCATTATAGCGCACTGAAACACACAGGAGGCGTTACCATCACATGCAACCACGTTAGGCTGCAGAGAACATCGTAGGACCTACTTTAGCCTCCTCTGAAGGATACGGCGTGTGGCATAGGTGACAGGAAGCAGTGGCGAAGCTACCGTGGGCCTCCACCAGCTTCTCATCGGGGATGCCACACACTGTGAGGAAACAGAAGTTAGGAGATGGAAACAGCTGGTGCAGGTAGCAGCAGCCGTTGCTGCAAACTAGGAGTCATTTAGATGTTTGCATGAAGATCGCTGTAACATACTGCACCTAAATGGTGCACACCAGTAAAAGACCAAACATACAAGCACGTTATCAGAGACAGCTGCTCACATTTCTCCAGCCCGTCGATGTTCTGGGTGTAGACTCGGAGCAGCAGGCCTTTGTGATGAAGCATGCGGATGAAGTAATGGATGTAGTTGGGCCGGTGGCCTCCAGGATACAGAAACTTGGCCAAGGAGAAGAACGGCTGCGGGTCGTTGGAGAAGTAGTCAATGTTGAAAATGGCTTCTGGGTAAGGAACGTTATACTTCTCCAGGTTAGCATAGAGGCCCGTTCCAGGAGTCCTGGAAACGTTCACGTTTCACTAAGAAATTTCATCTTGTAGCGAAAAAAAGTGAAACTTTGAAAAACCTGTTTCTAACCTGAAGTCTGGAATGCCACTAGCCGTGCTGATCCCTGCTCCAGCCACCACCACCACCTTCTTACAGCGGCCGCGCTTCACCAGCAGAGCCACAGAGGACAGGCCGCTCTGGGACGACGACGACGATGATGTGGCCCGTAAAGGATCACTGCTGGTTCTGGACTTCTTTTCTTTACTGCAACTTTGAGGCAGATAATAAAAAACTGGCAACAATGATTTACTTTCCATGACTGATTCATGAAAAAAATCTGAAACATGCTTCATTTACCTTGAATATAAGACGTCCTGTTCATTCACACCTATCTGACCGAGGTCCTGACCCAGAGGCGAGGCGGTTCTCTTCCTTCGCATTTTTCTACACAAGCTCTGCTGAGACTCATCAGGCTCTGCAGGGTTAGGGTGCTTGGTCTGGGAGCCCCAGCTGCGTGTTGTCCTGCTGACCAGAGGCTGGGCAACGTTTTTATCCCTGCTGGACCTGGATCTGCTCATTCCAGCACCTGCTGCAACAACAAAATAAATGCAAAACTGATTTCAAACCTCAGCTTAAAGCAGGAGCTGTAGCTTCTGGCTTTTGAATCTTCAAAAAATCCCCGATTCCTGTTTTCTGTCCCTCTCATCTTCCGGGTCCCATTTTAAAAAAAGCTGTTACCCTAAAATCATCTCAGCATCCGTTTCTGCGAGTTTCTCTGCACAGAGGGAAGCTGAAATGATTTAAAACTGTCAACAGTTGAACAAAAGGTAATGGCTGCAATATATTTGCCCCCCACCCCAGCTCGCGCCTCAGCAGCTATGCTAATATAGTCCACAGCTGTGGCAGCTTTACTGTTTGGGCAAAGCGGAGCGAAGAGCTGGGAGGGGGCGCATGGGAGTTTAAAAGAACCACAGATATGAGTCAACAAACCCAGCTGGGTGAGAAAAGATGTCCCTCTTACAGCCCCCACCAAGTGAGAGAAATGGAGGCGAGGGAGGATAAATGATATGTAGAAGAGTTTCATTAAAGAGAGCTGGGGAGGAGGAGAGAAGAGGCTCCTACCGGCACGTTTCAGAAAGACAACAGAAACTTTTGAATTTACCATATTTTAAGTGACGAAGCAACGCCGTCTCATTCTAAAGCTTTAAAAAACTATTTAAACTCTGCAGACGGCTTTCCTTATTTACAACTTTCATTTCAGGCCCTTAATCTTAAAACCCCAACACCTCATCAGTACAGTGGGCCTTCTCTCTCCCCTCCACATCCTACAGAACTATTAAAAACAGCAGGAGGGGGCCGATGGCCTGGGCTTTTGTCTGGTCTCGTCTCAAAAAGACACGGCTGAGAACGGTCAATAAATCACCGGCCGGTTATTACGGGTTTCTCACAGACTGTGGAGAAGAAGCAACAGGCTGCACCTCCACTGCTCCACCCAACTGGACGGTGGATTGTTACTTTTAAACTGAAACGTTCCCCTTCTCCTCGGAAAAAGCCCTAAATGTGCCACAGATGTTAATATTACTCTTTAATGACTAATATATCCCTGTACGAATGACAAAAGGCTTTAAAAGGATTTGGATGCCCCCCCCCCTTGCATGCTCTGGGGTCTCCTGACTGAAAGTCTGCACACATCCCTCGCGGACCACCAGGAGAGTGGCTGATCATACGAGGGTTACAGTTGCCTCAGTGGTCACCAGTTTAACTCCCCCGACACATTGCCGATCCAAACAGACGTGCTGATTAATAATCCCCAGAACAACAAACCGATAAGTTTGCATAAAAGCAACAAAAGACTGAGAAGGTGCTGCTTTGACTGCATCGCTTAGCTCTGAAGTTTAATCAGCAAATATGTGCAAAACTCCATTCAAGAAGCTGATCAATGATTCATTTAATTCCATCTACTTGAGCATTTGTCTCATACGGTTTAACTTTATTCTGAACAGCTGAGAGGTCAAAACATCGGCGAAGAGTCTCAGCTGAGCCTAAAAGCGGGTTTAGTTACGTTTAACGAGGGCTTTTCTGCTCCAACCCCAGCGTTTAACCCTCCACTCACAGCAGCAGAGTCGAGGACGGCCACCTTTGATCTCGCCGCTCCACCACCACCCAGAAAAAAAGCTGAAACGGCGACCGGCAGCCTGGTCGTCATAGAAACCTCTTCATTACTTAGCTGAAGAGGGAACAGCTCCGTGTCCTCCCTCCCCACCTGCTCGCTAATGACATATCACTCTGTGTAGCATCTTTGTTGGCCTCTCCATTGACACAAAGCAGCGAGTCCTAATTTGTGTTAGGATGTTGTTTGCTCACACAGAGGAAGGTGGAGGGGAGGTGCATTTGCCCAGTGGGTCACAGTTCCATAATGACCATCGTTTTGTTGTGATTTCAAAGACCCGCTGGCGCTTAATTAAAAAGAAATCAAGTATCAATACAAATCCTGTTAAAGGAATCAGATGACGAATCAAACTACCTAAAATTGTCCCAACATGTAACAATTAGAGATGCATTAATTGTGGTTTTAAAGAGAAAATTTGTAGTTTTTTTTAATTGTTAATCTCTGGAAATATCATCGAAATGTTGTAGAAAATGAATTAAATGATGCCCAGTTTGAGAAATATTGACCGTTTTGTAACATATAACCATTAAAAAAAAATCAGGTTTCAAATAAGTCTACAGGAGCCCGTTAGGACTAAATACATTTACTTATTTGTAACAAGTGGTTACAAAACTTTCATCATTCATAAACGTTGTTTTACACATTTACCTCTTCACTCGCTGCCAGTGATGAAAGGAAGTCTGATGTGCTTGTTGTTTTGCTGGAGGTTGAACTACCAGAGATTTTTTTGCCATTCATTGGGAAGGTCTTACTCAAACTAGGGATGTCCAGATCTAGTCACGTGGTTTCAGCCCCGATCGGCATCGGTCGTTACTTCCCGATCCGGACTCGGATACAGGGTTCAGATTACAGGAGAGCTCAGGTGAACCCGGTTCTCCTGAAAGGTTGCCAGGCTCCCCTGAAAACCTCAACTTACACACCCAGAGGGAACCTGAAAAAAGATCCTGATTCTACTTATATTACATTATTTATATGGACTCTCAGCATAACGGGGATTCTTTTGAGCGGAGACCGGGAGATGCAGAGCGCTAATTTTTCAAGCGCTCCAGGAAGCTGCGTTCTCCTCACGGCTACATTAACGTTTTCAAAGTGGTGTCACCCAAAAATATATATAATTAACATGATTGGTTATGTCCGTTCATATTCTCTCTGGTAATTTCTGTCTTTTATTCGTGCCCGACGTGCTCTGCTGCTGGAGGACTGAGAGGAGATGCAGGAAGATTAGAGACGGACGAGAAAATAAAAACCAAGAAAACAAAACAAAGTTCTTGAAAAATTAGATGTATGTAGATTTATCCCACTACACATTTTATCTCTATAAAGCAGAAATTTACCAACATGTAAACTTTACATTTTTGATAAAATTCAGTTCACGATCAAAACTCTGTCCCATGCCCAGGGCTGTAGCAAGGCATTTTGAGGGCCAAGACAAAATAGACCCCTGCCCGGTATTTTAAGTTGAGGTGCCATTTGTTTTTATATTAGACTTTTTTATATTTGCACTAAAGTCCAAAATTTTACAATTTATTTTATTTATTACTTGATTGTTCAAGCTACCTCCCAGAAGTGATCTGTTTGTTAACAGAGTTGTTAAACGTTAAAATAAAGTTAATTCAATAAAAAATAAAGTACATTCTGGATCTTTTTCTTGGCTTTCTTTCTCTTTTGATGTATCGGATTTGGACTCTGTATCTGCAGATTCTCTAAATCAAATGGCTCAGAGGCAAAAAAAAAAAAAACTGATGGGGACATCCCTAACTCGAACACAAAAATACAGTTTGCTGTGAATGATTTAGCTATGTACTGCCCCCTATTGCCAGGGAAAATGCACATTGTCACTTTAAGGGCCAACCCCGAGTCCTGATTATCAAACAGCTCCGACCTTTCATCCTGGATGGTTCAATTTTTTCTCCAAGAATGCAAAAATTTGATTAACTTTAAAATCGAACCCCAAAAGTGAAAACGTCTGCATAGATCAATTGATACTTGTAGAATTTTTTGATTTTGTGAGATTGGTGCTTGACAAAAAGTGCATTTACAAAAAAAAGAAATAGAATATTACATTATATACATGTTGAATACCGAATGAGTCCAAATTTTTAACTACTACACAATTCTTCAAATTCACAACAAGTAACTTAAGGTGACTGTGTGCATTCCTCCTGGCGATAGGGTGCTTTTAGCTTTAGCTTAGCATAACACAGTAAGTGAATGGAACCAACTAGCAATACGAGTAATAAAGTCCTTAAAATCACTCAGTAGTGATCATAAATCTGCTTGGTGACCTAAATAATCAGTCTGACTGAGTGAAAATAACTAGTAACATAAAGGCATCACAGCCACCACTTTAGTCTTGGGACTACATTGACAAAGCACAGCTGTAAGCCTCCGCTAAACGGTGCAAGGCAGCCCCAAAGACACCTGATTCCATAAACAGAGATGCCCACATTAGCGAACTGGCTCACGTAAAAGGAAACATGATGTCTAATATAGCGTCACTCAGAGACTTAGACCTGCTCCCATGTATTTTTATGGTTATATGTTATGAAGACGCTAATATTTTTCAACAACTGGGCATAATTTCATTCATTTTCAACAATATTTCGATAGATATTTCCAGAGATTAATGGAAAAAACTACAAGTTGTCTCTGTAAGTTAAACAGATGCTGTGTAAATAAATGACAATAAGGTTTTATTAAACCCTTTTATTAAAATATTGTGTTGATTCCGTAAAAATGAAAAGTCTTTACAGGGCTTGCCATTCTTTGATACCATGTGCCCACATCTTAAGGCTTTTTACAAGGAAAATTCTGAAGGTTTAGTTGATAAATAAGTATAGACATGGCTCTGGATTATATAAAATGCTTATAGAAAATGTATAAAATAAAACAATTACCTTGAGGTTATATTAAAATAAAAATATGGGTATAAACCTCCATTTAGATAAGCAGATGAATTAAACTGATGAATTAAACTGAGCTGAAAAAAATGTTTTTATGCATGCCTGGCAAGCCAGACTAAATAAATATTATTTAAATGTATTTACTTAAAGGGGCATTATGGAAGTTTGACAGCCAAAACATGTATAGAAATAATAAATTTCTTCTTCATACATTCTCCTGCAATGCCCTGGTCCAGTAGAATGAGCCCTGGCATTTTTACTGTGATTGCCTGTTTTTCTGTAAAATCACAGAAAAAGAGAGATGCTCGGGTCGAGCAGGCTGCTTCATGCGCGTTCACGCTCAGGCATAGCCCGTAGCATTTGCTATCCGTAGCTTTGGCAGCAGAGAGAGGCAGTGCCACTCTGTGTCACGCATAGTGACAAACCTAGCTACATTTCTGAGGACCCTTAGCTACTTTCTGTAGAACTTTCTTCTAGATATTTCCTGCATCGTTCTTTGGTTTGACGTTGTTTCAGGTGTTATCAAGGATATAAAAGTTACAGATGCTATGAAAGTTACTGGTGTGTAGCTCACCTTGTAAGATGTCTGACTCTCATGCAGAAGACCTGGGTTCGATTCTGGGTGTGAACGTAGTATATTTAAAGTTTATTTTTTACATTAATGGTATATTTTTTCACAGTAAAATGTCCAAATTTTTGAGACTCGCCGAATGACATTGAATTCACAGATAAAAAAGATGTGGGTTCAACTTTCATTTTGGAACAATTTTTCAAGCAAGGGAAGGGAATGATCTAAGCTTGCAGGAGGACTGACCCATCATAAACCTTTGTCGGCTGTGCTGAAGAGAAAGGTACAGAACCAAATTATTTAATTAATCAGATGTGCATTCTCCTGTCATCTGGGCCACACACACACACACACACACACACACACACACACACACACACACACACACACACACACACACACACACACACACACACACACACACACACACACACACACACACACACACACACACACACACACACACGGGACTGTCTCAGCTGTTATTTTCATTAAGGAGTGTGCAGGTACAGCATACGCGCCTCGTGCACGAGCCTACTGTTGAAGCTGCCGTTACGCTTTCGGCCTGAGGGGGCAATCGCGAGCATAAAAATTCAAAAGTCCGTAAAGTCCCTTTAAAGAGCAAGTCACCCCCAAATCAACTTTTTTTCTGATAAACAATTTAAATGCGTGTCTAATCGTGCTGCAGACATGTGTAGTCAATAGTTTTACACTTAAGTGCATTTTAGTTAAAATTTGACTTTTCTGCCTAAAACTGTCAGTGTTGTGCCGTTGTCAGGTAAAAACTCTGCACTGCATTTGAATTTAAATCTGCCATCGCTATTTATGCCATAGATGGTACCATATGATGTCACAATGTCGTTGTGAACCTGTGTGTGTGTGTGTATTTGTTGGTGGCTCTGCCCTCCGTCTGCTAGGCAACAGCATTTGTTGCATTTTTTCAAACAGGAAGTGGGAGTGGAGTAATACTCTGGTAGGGGATGACTTGCTCTTTAAACTTTGCAAAGCAAGAGTTTGGCCAGTCCACTAGTCTAATTATTTGCAGCTTTGAACAGGAATTCCATTTAGTGGTGCTACGCTGACCCCTAGAGGATGCGTTAAGTCATTACAAATAAAACCACAAGATCCATTGATTGTCTTCTTTTAGCTCATCGTCTCACTTACCAGTTTTTGTACTGATTATGACTGATTTCCTAAGGTGTCAACTGAATAAATTACATCACACCAGGACTCTCAACTTTCCTAAAGCTATTTCAAATTAGGGTAAAACTTTCATTTTAAAACATTGTCTTTATGCACCTCTCTATTTGTTCTGACTATTGTAATGCACATATAAAGCTGCTATGTTGTCAGTGTTTGACTTTAAAAAGTAAGACTAAAAGGATATGGTTCCTTTTGGCCTCAAGGGCCACCATCCAGCAGGTTAAGTGTTTATTTTACTCCAGCACACTTGATTTGAATTTCAAATGAAAATGCAACACGTGCATGTGTATTTTTTATATGTATATGCGTCCATTAAGGCTCTGAAACAATAACCGCTCAGAAACCCACCTTTTTATTGGTGGAGTTCATATGAATCACAGCTGAAGCAAATGAAGAACCATTATATAGTCCCTAAAAGCTTAATTATGTTTCATTGGACAGTTTAGTGGCTATTTTAACAGAATAATTTAACTGTTAACGATGTCGTGCGTTTCCCGTATTGATTTTTGTGACTCAGCTCATAAATATTGACCCAAAGTAGAATCTTACTCTTTGAAACTTTAATCCTGTAAAACCAGGGGGAGATAAATATATCCAAATACTGCATGCTGCTTTTCAAAAAATGAAATTTAGAAATGGTTATCACGTCATATAAAGGAAATGGGTAATTTTGCTACTCGGCAAGAAATAATCTCAGTAAAACTTAAAATTATTATTCATGAGAACGTTGAAGGTTGCAGCGTTGTCAGTAGCTACCTGTCTCCTCCCAGACCGCCGAGCTTCGGAGTGATGAAAACACGACAGGCAGAAAACTCTGGGTCAGTCCGGAAGTTCCAACATCCAAATGAGAACTACCTTAACGACGCTGGTACAAAAAATAAAAGTTTGAACCTTGTCCCTGCCAGCATCCAAAGCGACCGGCTTAGCCAAAAGTGTCTCGTTCCTCTGAAACTCACGCACAAACGGTTACTTCTCAAGACAGAGGTCTCACTCGGCTATGTTTTCAGAATATTAAATCAGTCATCACGACACGAACACAGGCGGGAAACAGGGGTGGAGTGGAGGTCACGTGATAATGCATTTCCGCTTTTCAAAATTCATTGTTGAATATAAAAGCGTAAAATAACCGTATCTGGCACCACACACCAGAATGTTCTAAAAGCAGCTGAAACAAACTCAACCGATTACGTTTTTATGTTAAATGTTAACCCAAACCACCCAGAAAAACGCATCTGTTTAAACAGTTTTCTCATTCTTACCAAATTCAAATTGGGGGCGTGGTCAACTTCCACACTTGAGAATCGGGACACCCTACGCACTTGCACCCCTGGCCAGGAAGTGCAATTGAAGGGCGCAAGGGTGCAAGTGCGAGTATTGGGATTGGGCCAAAACCTTTCCGACACTCAAAGTGCGCGGAGCTCACGGAGGAGTACAAATCAGGCTTTACTGGGTGTTGATAGTGAGGTGGCCAGCAATTTTTCAGGGGTGGTTATGGCCATCTCTTAGGGGCGCCACTGCCTATGAAGAGACAAGAATAGTTTGAGTACATTAAACATAAAGCTGTATTTGAAAACATTTATAACACAGGTGGTGTTACACTAAAAACGGGGTCATTGTTTCAATAAGAGTGTGTTATAAGACATCTTTTTTAAAGACGATCTTAGGGGACAAACAGTAATTGCGTCACTTCCTCTTTAAGAAAAAAGAGGCGGTCTTAACGTGTTTTGGTTCAGTTATTAAACGCATGAACGAATCGGTTTATTTTGAGGCTCTATTTGTTCTGTCCCGCCTGAGGGGTCTGCATTTTACTGCGATATTACCTAAAAATTCTTTCCATCCTCTCAACGCAACGCCCAAACATGAAATATGTTCCGATCCATCTCTGACCAAAGGGTTCCTGGTTAATTTCAATTTGATGAAAAATAACAATTTATCCTTTCGAGGCCTTACTCGATGGTTCTTTTTTTAAAACAATGTACGGATTTAAATGTATTCTGCTGTCAGCCATGACATTGAGCAGCTTTATTTCACATTCTGGTTGTGTTTAATCTGTTTGCGCTCTTGTGTTTTTAGAAGATCATCAGATAAAACGGAGCTTCAGTTTGCAGACTACCTCCGTGTGTTTAGTGGGTGGAGATTGAGGACCTCCTCCTAAAAAACAGTCATCAACACAAGCCAGCGAAGCAGCTTTGCTGTTACACAAATTGGGGCCAGAATTGTTGGTTTTCGATGGTTTTAATAGTCCCACACTGCTTGTAAATTCATTGGATCTATACTAGCTACCATTAAATAAGGTATGTATTACATTTGACTGTTGTTGTGAAACGTGCGTCACATTTTGAGAACTTTTGCAGCACCACTTTTTGAGGGAAAAAAACTAGCTAGAAGCCACAGTTTCAGATAAAAACGTCGACATTTTTAGCGACTAAAATATGGATTTGCGACTTGGAACATTTTTATTTGATAATCGCGTCTGTCTCTCGCGAGCCAGAGTGCTCTACAACAGCGCGTGCGGTTAAAACTGATGAAATGTAGCCACACAAAACTGCGAGGTAGCCGCTCGGAAACTGGCTGAAAAAGTAAAAAATGTTTGTTAAAAGTAGCGTTGGATTGTTTAAAACAATAGACCCGCGCCTGGCGGTTCTAATTGTTAACACTCGTTTAAGTTGAAGTCAACATCCTCACAAAAATGTCGAAGGTTAGGCAGCTAGCTTAAAAGGCTCAGGCTTCGTTGTCACCTTTTAGCTTAATTGACGCGGCCGTGTTTAAAATAACTAATAAATCCATTTGCTGCCACAACTTCCCGCGAGACTTCCTGTTAATCTTTTACACGTTTATCAGGTAACAGCGATGATGTCCCCCCCCCCCCCCCCCATTGGATTAATGACAATCACTTGATCAGTTATGCTAATGTTCTGTTAAAATAGCTCCTAGAGTCGCTTAAGAACTGATTCTGAGTCAGTTGTCTGGAAATGTTGCTGATAATCATAAAATGATCACCTATCATTTACTGTCGTTTTCACATTTACAGTACCATTTATCACGTAGAGAGGGTGAATATGACGCAAACGTTGCTTCTAACCTGTCATTATTTTCCCCACAGACTTAATGTGTTCAGCAGTGATGTTTACGTGTGCTGCATCTGTCCATACATCCATCCATTCAAATGTCTGCCACGATATGTCACTTATACAGCTATTCATGGGTTAAAACAGACAAAAACTCTTATTGACACTTAGTAGACTTAACGACATGTTTTACTGATTAGATGCCATGTAAAACACCAGTAAAATGCATTTACATTTATGAATTAAAACCACTGCTGCAGCAATTGTTGAGTGTAAATATTAGGGGAGTTATAGATCATTCTGTTGGTATACTGCAACAATCAAAAACTTTGTGTGAAAAAAATAAATAATAAAAAACATTGTTAGGTATGTCCAATTTGGTTCAACTGGTTTTCTATATTCATGATGAAAAATGAGCTTCTTTCATTATAAATGTTAAACTGATCTGTTTCTCGGGATTCAATTAAAGGAAAATGAAAATGTATGCATTTTCCTTCTGATATAAATATATGGTTAAACTCAAACATACACACAGATATTTAAATATTTAAAATGTCCAATAATTTTAAAACCTGACGAAAGAATTAAGAAACTACATTTTTATTTAGAATTTTTGTAAATGTCATGAAATATTTAATTTTTCTCAAGTGAATCTATGATACATTTTATTTATTATGAGTTGCTGTGAACACCTGCTTTTTGTAACCTGTTGTTCAGACTGTGAACTGGTCTACCTTGTTTTTACTACTAGCAGCACACCCAAAGAGCACACTCCTTATTTCTTTACACATTGTGCTCACAATGGCAACATTTGTAATTCTGACTCTCAACCTCAGTTTTCCCCAACACACGCAAAACATAGACTTCTGATTACATGATTACAGCAAAACAGTCCCTTAACCGGAAGGTTAGCGCTAGGATATGCTGCTTGTTTTTTTTTCTCCAAATGTGAGTTATGGGCAAACATCTGCATCTGTTTATCTAATTGTACTGCATGGATGTGCAGCATGCTTTCTGAGGCATTTAGAGCTGGATCCATTACTATTGAGATTTTAAAAACATGTATATCTACTATTTCAGTTAGAATTTGTGTGGATAAATCGGACATCTTTGTTCTCTCCAGGAAAAGCATCTTCCTATCCCCCCCTTAACATGCACACAGTGTGTCTGTGAGTCTTTCTGTCATCATGGTAATAAGATTATTTATATTCTCAGATGAGTCAGGCGGAGCAGGTGACTGAGGACATGCCTGCATACCACGAAGATGAGCCAGTAGCAACAGGTAAGCGTTGTTGTCCTTTCCACAGCTCTAAGGACATTTGCACAAGGACAAGTCCTGGTGTTGGTGTGTTACTGTGTCAGAGTGCAAAATCCTGGAGCCATGGGGGAGGGCAAAAGTGAAGCAATGGCTTGTTTGGGTTTATTTCAGCACTGGTATTGCACATAAATGAAATAAATACTTCACAGTCTTCTGTGTTTCTCAGTCACTGCTATAGAGAAAGTTGATTGAAATGAACTTTAATGAAAAACTATGTTCAGGTAAGATCATGTTTAGCCTTTTAAACTTCCTGTACTGTAGATGTGCACATTTGCATTTTTAATTTATCTAGATCAGAACTCCCATGAAGGTTAGGCAACTACCAAGCCATTAACATATGACACTTATGCACTCTTGTATTATGTAAAAATGTTGTTTTTCTACTCATTTTAAATCGCACTTGTCAGCAGGACATTTATCTCCCAAACTAAAGAGCCACACGAGTGCCATATTTGGGAGTTAAAGAGAAAATTGTTTTTCGTCATAAAGAACAACTGAGTTAAAAATAACTTGGTCAACATTCTGGTGAATTTATTTTTATTTTGAGAACTTGGTTTGTGCAAAATACTGGTTCTTTGTGTGGTTAATTTAAAGTCTGGTGCTCATGTGGGTTACTTCAGGGACGACTGCTGAGCAAACAACAATTTGGGAGTTAGTCACAAATCATCAGCTAAAATATGATGTTTGTGAGAGCTTTAGTCATCATCATCCTGGTTTCTTATTGTAAATGAGGACGCACCATCCAGTTGGTTTTTTAGTGCAGATTTAAGATTTTTGTACAGAACTGATTTGCTGAATACACATTATTTTAAAACAAAAACAAAAAAAATCTCCACATAGCAAATCATGCATTGTTTTTTCTACAAATAAAATCATCTGAACTGATGTTCAGTATATTTAGGAGAAAAGTTTGTTTATAAAATGTAACTGGAAGAATGGCAAACAGCTGCAGTTTTAGCTGAAAACAGTGAATTAACCCCCCTAAAACAGAAAAGGATTAGCTTATGCTAAAGCCTTTCAACCTAATTCACTATTAACATTCATTTTTAATGCTTATATTTATTTATTTTGTTGTTTTAAATCAGACACCAACAAGGATCATCCGCAAACACAACCAGGCATGTTCAGCAGGTTGGCAGGGGGGTTGTATGGAGCCACTAAAGCGACGGTGGGCGGCGTGACCTGGGTAGGAGGAAAGAGCCTGGACCTGACCAAGACAGCTGTGTGCTCTGTGGCTGCTGTGCCTGCTATGGGGGTTGGGCTGGTGAAAGGGGGAGTGTGTGCTGTAGCAGGAGGAGTGACTGCTGTTGGCTCCGCAGTGGTCAGCAAAGTTCCCATAGGAGGCAGCAAAAAGAAAGACAAGTCTGACTGACGGGGGATGGATGAAGAAACAACACACACATGGCCAAGTTAAACAGCTCACACTCCGTTTTGACCATTTCTGCACTTGTGAACAGGAAAAATGCAACAAAGGACATAAAATTTTAGTATACAAGTTTTGGTGTTGGTTTTGTGTTTTTGAGTTACTTATTAGGAGTCATTCAATTTTGTGTCCAAGATTTGTACTGAAATAAACCCACAGCGCACCATAGGAGGACCAACAGGAGCGTGAGCGATGTGAAACCATTGTATGACAATCAGTGAGACTCAATGCCCAAGAGTTAGAGGTTCATAGGAGACTACAAATACTTCACTTTCTTCTAGAAAACTGTCAAATGTACCTGGAAATTGTCCGTGTTATTTGTTTACACTCCTTTAGCCATCACGTTTGTTCAGAAATTAGATTTGTCTGAACAAATACTTGTAAGGAAAAGTCCTGGTTAATAATGACGTTACATGCTGGTTTATGATATTTCACTGGTAGTTTATTTTTAATATATTTCCATTTCAATTGTTTCTCTGACTTTGTATTGCCATCTTGTGGTTAGGTTTGCAGATTAATGGAAAGCAGTTTTTGCTCTCTATAAGTTTTAATTGATAAAAATCATCTTTCTGCAGAAAAGATGGTTTATTGTGATGAACATTTTCCTAACTATTTGTTTTTCCTTTTTAAGAAAAAATAAAGCTTGAACATCATGTTGAAATAAAGCAATAAACAAATATCAAAACCCAGTTTATGTCTTTGTAGTTTTGAAAAGTAGTATTTCATAGAAAATACTTATGAAATTTGGGTTTAAATCTAAAAAATGAACATTTATGTTTGGTAAATTCTTTTTTTATTGTAACAAGGTCTAATTAGGCTCTTTTACTATGAGGTTTAATTTTTTAGGGATGTGCAGCCATAAAAAAAGCATCACAAACACTGCCAAATACACAAGAAGCATGCCTAAAAATGCCAAATCCCTTGGAATATTCCGTTAGTATTGGCCCTTGTTTTGGGCTTCAAGTGCTACCAGGTGTGTGCAGCACACAGGTGTGTGGCGGGCTCTTGACTGACCTCTTGCTGTGTAGAGTGATCAACACCACCTGGTTGAGACTTGGGATGCAGCTCTTCATCCCAGATCAATGGCCCATATGAGAAGGAGCCAAGCTGTCGTGGCTGCGAATGGAATTCCCGCGTGCTACCGAGGCCCCTGATGGATAAAAAATAATCATGTAAAAATGGCCAATATTATTGTTTTATTAATATTATTAATGAGGGAAAGTGGAACCATCTAATTAACCAAACAACTCAGAAGAGTAAACAGCATTGCAGGGACATTTTGTTCAGCTGTGTTGAGAATTCAGTGGATGCACAATCCTTGAGAAAGAAAGAAGAATCATTACTCTTTCCTTACTTTTTATGTTTAGATATTGATAAAAGTGTGCTTGTTTAATTGCAGATAAATATGCCAAACTGACAATAGACATCACAAAACACATTTTAATAGACATTTTATAGACATTCCATTGTTGTTTTAAAACTATTAAAATATTACTTAGAAAGTATTGGTTTGCACAAAACAATTCAAAAACAAATGGAAGATTTTAAGTTTAATGTTAACCTCATTGTGATGTATTGGCATCTTTCTGCCAAACACACTGTTAGAGGAAAAAATATTGTTTTACCTTAATAATTAAACAAAAATATTAATCAAAATAAAATTTCAAATAGTTTTCATCTGAATTCTTGTGCTTGTCTCTGTTTACTGCTGAGGAGCAGTCATGATCACTTCTCCAGAAGACACCACAACCTTAGTATCATTCTTCTGGTCCACTGCCTTGGTATCTCTCTCTGCACACAGATAAGCAAATAGTCTTATTTGGGAAATGTTTTGTTTGTGAATTTTTAGATATTTCTTTTAACAAGAAATAACCTACTTCCTTTTCTGTGACATGCTGGTTCACAGCTGACTCCTGGTCCTGACGTGCACACAGCTGCGCTACAGTGAACGTATATCTAAACCAGAATAAACACATTATTCATTTAACTATTTTAGAGATGTTTCTTTCTGATTGTTGTATTTATTACCTTTTCATGTAAGGGTCCCGTGGTGCTGTGATCTATAAAGGTTAACATTTTAAAAACGAAACGTCTGTAGTGGGTTGGATACTGCAAACCAGATGAGGCATCTACTGGAACCAATGAGGAAATGTAACGATCATCTGAGTTAGGACATCTGGATGGAAAAAAGTTAAAATTTAGGAAAATTATTGATTATATCATCAATACACCAACATGACGAATAGTACTCTGATATCTGAGCTACATTTAAATTTCTCATATAATTTTTGAATGAAAAGTGTCAGAAACACTAATTCATTTATGTTCCGTGTTTCTAATGTGACTGTCAAGGTTGTTCATCAACCATAAATTGTTTTATGGACCAATTTGTAGATGTGGTTTTAAAAAGGCTGCATGATGGTACAGTTGGTAGCACTGTTTCCTTGTAACTAGAAGGTTAAAAGTTTAACAAACAGCTGCAAACTGTCTGCAGAGTTAGCATGTTCCTGCCATACTTGCTCTGGTTCTTCAATAGATGAAAAAAAATGTATATGAACTGTGACTGTCTATGTTAATAGTTTTATGTCTTGTTTGTCTTTATGTCCAGGGTGTGCCCTGCTTCTTTCCTGTTGAAAGACAGGGATAGTAGTGTATAATATGTATACATTTGAACAAACTCATTTTAGGAAATTACTTTTCAGCAATTTCATCTCTAACTATATGATGATTGCCAGTGAAAAATTATAAGGTGAATTTAATTACCCATTTATCAGAATGTCCCACTGGGGGAAGCTGTGTGGGATGGGGCCTGTTGTTGCCCAACAGCGTCCAAGAGTCAGAACAAGTGCAGGATCTGTCTTGTCCAGGAGCTCAACTTCCACATAAACTGGATCTCTCAATACTTTAGTCACAGGATAGTCTGAGTCCACATAGTAAGAAGTGTAGGCTGCTGCCACTGTGGGACCAAAGCCACAAGTTATTGTGACACCAAACATTGTGAAATGATCAACAAACGGCATCTCTACTTGGTCGGCACATACTGACCTTCATTACAACCCTTGGTACTGCATTGGCCACTGGCCAGCCTTATTTCAACATTGATGGGTCCAAGAGCAGCAATCGGCAGAGGGGGTCCAAGTACGTCTACTTCAAGTATCAAGGTTTCAACTGAAGTACCAATGTACGTACATTGGAAAAGCAGTCTAAACGAGAACTGATGTTATGTTATTTAATCTCTGTTTTTGTTCTGAAAAATCTTTACTACTATGTTTTACTTACTCATAGCTGCTGTCCCAAGTGATAGCACCATAAGCCCCAAATTTCACTTCAAGCAAAGACATCATCCTATTTTGATAGATTATAGCATTGGGCTCTTCCTACCAAAAAAAAAAAAAAAGAAATAAAATCAAGTTTGCTTGTTGATTTTGAAAATTGTTGTTATTGGTAAGAATAAACAAATATATTAGAATATTACCATGACAATGGTGCCACAGGCAGTAACAGGAAAGAAGTAAACAGCAAAAATTGAATTAGTGTGAGCAGCTTTACAGCTTTGACCATGTCCCAACAATCCAATGGATTCAAGGTCAATATGGGGTAGAGTGACATCCTTAGCCACAACGACAATAAATTGGCCATCCTTGGTACATTGGACTGTCACTGGTGGAGGAAATAAAATAGCACGTTGAGGTAAAACACCTTCGACTAGAATAATAATGCAGCTGTAAACAATTTCATGTGTTTGAAAGTAGCTTTCAGAAAATTTTAAACTTGCTGTAATAAACAGTGAGGTTTTTCTGAGTCCTTTATCAACGTTACTTACCTCCTTTTCCGAAGTAGCACCGCTGGCCATCAAAGCAGCAATCCCTGGCCTCACAGTCAGTAGCAGAGATATCAGCAACTCCACAAGGAATTCTGGCATTCTGTGGGACATCACAGCTTGACTGGATCTGAGGGTAGTAGGAAGGTGTCTGAGGGTTCTGAGCATATTGAGGGTATTGAGGCATTGATGGTATTTGAGGATTCTGAGGCAGTTGAGGGTTCTGAAGAGGTTGAGGGTTCTGAGGCTTTGAAGGCATTTGAGGTTGAGGGTACTGAGGAGGTGCTGGAAGTTGGGGGTTCTTGGGAAGTTGAGGGTATTGAGGATTTGAAGGTATTTGTGGATTCTGAGGCAGTTGAGGATACTGAGGAGTTTGAGGGTACTGAGGCTTTGAAGGTGTTTGAGGTTTAGGGTACTGGGGAGGTCCAGGAATCTGAGGGTTTTTAGGAAGTTGAGGGTACTGAGGAGGCTGGGGTACCTGAGGCTTTGAGGGTATTTGAGGCTGAGGGTACTGAGGAGGTCCAGGAATCTGAGGGTTTTTAGGAAGTTGAGGGTACTGAGGAGGTTGGGGATTCTGAGGCTTTGACGGTACCTGAGGATTCTGAGGAAGTGGAGGATACTGAGGAGGCTGAGGGTACTGAGGATTTGATGGTGTTTGTGGGTTCTGCGGCAGTTGGGGGTATTGAGGAGGTTGGGGATTCTGAGGCTTTGATGGTACCTGAGGATTCTGAGGAAGTGGAGGATACTGAGGAGGCTGAGGGTACTGAGGATTTGATGGTACTTGAGGATTCTGAGGCACTTGAGGGTACTGAGGCTTTGAGGGTATTGGAGGTTGAGGGTACTGAGGAGGTCCAGGAATCTGAGGGTTTTTAGGAAGTTGAGGGTACTGAGGAGGTTGGGGGTTCTGAGGCTTTGATGGTTCCTGAGGATTCTGAGGAAGTGGAGGATACTGAAGAGGTTGAGGGTGCTGAGGATTTGATGGTGTTTGTGGATTCTGAGGCAGTTGAGGGTACTGAGGAGGTTGCGGGTACTGAGGCTTTGATGGTATCTGAGGACTCTGAGGAAGTTGAGGTACCTGAGGCTTTGAGGGTATTTGAGGCTGAGGGTACTGGGGAGGTGCTGGAAGTTGAGGGTTCTTAGGAAATTGAGGGTACTGATGATTTGATGGTATTTGTGGATTCTGAGGAAGTTGAGGATTCTGAGGAAGTTGGGGGTACTGAGGCTTTGATGGTACCTGAGGATTCTGAGGAAGTTGGGGCACCTGAGGCTTTGAGGGTATTGGAGGTTGAGGGTACTGAGGAGGTGCAGGAAGTTGATGGTTTTTAGGAAGATGAGGGTACTGAGGATGTTGGGGTTTCTGAGGCTTTGATGGTACCTGAGGATTCTGAGGAAGTGGAGGATACTGAGGAGGCTGAGGGTACTGAGGATTTGATGGTGTTTGTGGTTTCTGAGGCAGTTGAGGGTATTGAGGAGGTTGGGGGTTCTGAGACTTTGATGGTACCTGAGGATTCTGAGGAAGTGGAGGATACTGAGGAGGTTGAGGGTACTGAGGATTTGATGGTATCTGACGATTCTGAGGAAGTTGAGGATTCTGAGGAAGTTGGGGTTCCTGAGGCTTTGAGGGTATTTGAGGCTGAGGGTACTGGGGAGGTGCAGGAAGTTGAGGGTTCTTGGGAAGTTGAGGGTACTGAGGATTTGATGGTATTTGTGGATTCTGAGGCAGTTGAGGGTACTGAGGCTTTGATGGTACCTGAGGATTCTGAGGAAGTTGGGGTACCTGAGGCTTTGATGGTATTTGAGACTGAGGGTACTGGGGAGGTGCAGGAAGTTGAGGGTACTGAGGAGGTTGGGGGTTCTGAGGCTTTGATGGTACCTGAGGATTCTGAGGAAGTGGAGGATATTGAGGAGGTTGAGGGTACTGAGGATTTGATGGTATCTGAGGATTCTGAGGAAGTTGGGGTTCCTGAGGCTTTGAGGGTTTTTGAGGATGAGGGTACTGAGGAGGTGCAGGAAGTTGAGGGTTCTTGGGAAGTTGAGGGTACTGAGGATTTGATGGTAATTGTGGATTCTGAGGCAGTTGAGGGTACTGAGGCTTTGATGGTACTTGAGGATTCTGAGGAAATTGAGGATTCTGAGGAATTTGGGGCATTTGTGGCTTTGAGGGTATTGGAGGTTGAGGGTACTGAGGAGGTGCAGGAATCTGAGGGTTTTTAGGAAGTTGAGGGTACTGAGGAGGTTGGGGGTTCTGAGGCTTTGATGGTGTTTGTGGATTCTGAGGCAGTTGAGGGTACTGAGGAGGTTGCGGGTACTGAGGCTTTGATGGTATCTGAGGATTCTGAGGAAGTTGAGGTACCTGAGGCTTTGAGGGTATTTGAGGCTGAGGGTACTGGGGAGGTGCTGGAAGTTGAGGGTTCTTGGGAAATTGAGAGTACTGAGGATTTGATGGTATTTGTGGATTCTGAGGAAGTTGAGGATTCTGAGGAAATTGGGGATACTGAGGCTTTGATGGTACCTGAGGATTCTGAGGAAGTTGAGGATTCTGAGGAAGTTGGGGCACCTGAGGCTTTGAGGGTATTGGAGATTGAGGGTACTGAGGAGGTGCAGGAAGTTGAGGGTTTTTAGGAAGCTGAGGGTACTGAGGATGTTGGGGGTTCTGAGGCTTTGATGGTACCTGAGGATTCTGAGGAAGTGGAGGATACTGAGGAGGCTGAGGGTACTGAGGATTTGATGGTGTTTGTGGTTTCTGAGGCAGTTGAGGGTATTGAGGAGGTTGGGGGTTCTGAGGCTTTGATGGTACCTGAGGATTCTGAGGAAGTGGAGGATACTGAGGAGGTTGAGGGTACTGAGGATTTGATGGTATTTGTGGATTCTGAGGCAGTTGAGGGTACTGAGGCTTTGATGGTACCTGAGGATTCTGAGGAAGTTGGGGTACTTGAGGCTTTGATGATATTTGAGGCTGAGGATACTGGGGAGGTGCAGGAAGTTGAGGGTACTGAGGAGGTTGGGGGTTCTGAGGCTTTGATGGTACCTGAGGATTCTGAGGAAGTGGAGGATACTGAGGAGGTTGAGGGTACTGAGGATTTGATGGTATCTGAGGATTCTGAGGAAGTTGAGGATTCTGAGGAAGTTGGGGTTCTTGAGGCTTTGAGGGTATTTGAGTCTGAGGGTACTGGGGAGGTGCAGGAAGTTGAGGGTTCTTGGGAAGTTGAGGGTACTGAGGATTTGATGGTAATTGTGGATTCTGAGGCAGTTGATGGTACTGAGGCTTTGATGGTACTTGAGGATTCTGAGGAAATTGAGGATTCTGAGGAAGCTGGGGCATTTGTGGCTTTGAGGGTATTGGAGGTTGAGGGTACTGAGGAGGTGCAGGAAGTTGAGGATTTTTAGGAAGTTGAGGGTACTGAGGAGGTTGGGGGTTCTGAGGCTTTGATGGTACCTGAGGATTCTGAGGAAGTGGAGGATACTGAGGAGGTTGAGGGTACTGAGGATTTGATGGTATCTGAGGATTCTGAGGAAGTTGAGGATTCTGAGGAAGTTGGGGTTCTTGAGGCTTTGAGGGTATTTGAGTCTGAGGGTACTGGGGAGGTGCAGGAAGTTGAGGGTTCTTGGGAAGTTGAGGGTACTGAGGATTTGATGGTAATTGTGGATTCTGAGGCAGTTGAGGGTACTGAGGCTTTGATGGTACTTGAGGATTCTGAGGAAATTGAGGATTCTGAGGAAGCTGGGGCATTTGTGGCTTTGAGGGTATTGGAGGTTGAGGGTACTGAGGAGGTGCAGGAAGTTGAGGATTTTTAGGAAGTTGAGGGTACTGAGGAGGTTGGGGGTTCTGAGGCTTTGATGGTACCTGAGGATTCTGAGGAAGTGGAGGATATTGAGGAGGTTGAGGGTACAGAGGATTTGTTGGTAATTGTGGATTCTTAGGCAGCTCAGGGTACTGAGGAGGTTGAGGTAACTGAGGATTTGAAGACGTTTGAGGTTGAGGGTATTGAGGAAGCCCTGGAAATGTTTTTTTCTGATGAAGCTGATGGTTCGGAGGCTGTGATGGTATCTGCAGGTTCTGAGGAAGTTGAGTGTCTTGAGGAGGATGAGGAGGTGAAGAAGGTTGAGGGTTCTGAGAAGGTTGAGAATATTGAGACTTTGAAAGTGTTTGAAGGTAAGGACATTGGTCTTTTGAAACTGTCTGATGCGCAGCACCCTCAGGGTTTGAAGGTGTTTGAGGTTGAGGGTTCTCGGGTTCCTGAGGATGCCGAAACACTGGAGGCCAAGGGTATTGGGGCTTTGGTTGTGTTTGAGGCCCAGGGTATGGAGACAATTGTGGTGGAAAAGAAATGGGAATCTTAGGGTTTGAAGGTATTTTACCTCCCTGAGGAGACGGTGGATTCTCAGGAATTTTAGGATGCTGAGAATGTTGGGGGTTTTGTGGATGCGGTGGGTAGTGTGAACCCAGAAGGTAATAAGGATCTTCAGGCTCCTTCTGAGAAGTTTGAGAAAGTGGACCACCCTTGGTCAGAGCCTCTGTTTCTTTCTGCGCTAAGCAACATAGAAGAGCCAGTGCGGCAAAACAGGTGATACTCCAGTGAGTTGCCATGGTCGCAGCTATTTGGCCTCATTAGTCCCCCTGAGTATAGTTTGTATCTGCTGCTGAATTTATTTCTTACCAGACCCGAAACCCCACCTCTGTGGCAAAATAATCATTACCCACTTTAGAGAAAGGGGAGAATTAGCTCATGTTCTCTTTTTACTTGATTCAAAGAAAAGATTTGAAAAAAAATTCAGCAATAGGGCTTGTTTAAACAAATCAGTTCACTGTTGTCATTTAGATATTTATTAACAAGTCCCAACCTTTGGGTCACAAAAACCTTCTAAAGGTCTTCATAACCTCAAAACAACCTGTAACCCTAAGTTATATCTGTCACATAAGATTTACTTCACCAGAACAAGATAATTTCTTTTCTTTTCAAAATTGGCCTTGATGACTGTATTATTGCAAGTCAGGTAGGACTTTTAATGTTTACTGCTGTTATATGAATGTATTGCAAACTTAATTCAGAAGTGAGTCCAGAAAGCTTGACCAACATAGACTATCCTAGACCTAAAGCCTTTCCAAACCTTGTAAACAGACACAATGTAAAACAGCAGCAGAATCAAAATGGATCAAAACTGCCAATAAAAGATGGGAATGGTTCTGAACATGCAGGGTATGGATTCACCAGTCAGTTTTAGTTTATTTACAAAGTAATTTTCAAAAAACATAGTGCACCAGAGTGTTATACTCCAGAAAGTCAATAAAAATATTAAATAATGACAACAACATTGAAAATTATTAAACAAAAATACAAACTGAAATGAAACAGATCACAAAATCAAAAATAGAATGTAATGAAACACCATTTTGTTAAGATTTAAGAATCAGAAAATAGACAAAGTTAAAGGGTGAGCAGTTAAAGTTACAGAGGTGCAGTATAAGAACCATTCATTCAAAGGCTGATGAATACATGAAATTTTTACATTTTGATTTAAAGGTTAGAGATGAGGCAAATGTGAAGTCATAAGGAAGCTGATTCCATCTGTGTGCAGCATAGTAGCTAAAAGCAGCTTCACACTGTTTGGTTCTGACCCAGGTTCTACCAGCTGACGGTTTCCTAAGGATCTCAGAGCCCTGCTGGTCGTATACAGGAAAGACATCCGAGATGTATTTAAGCCCCATGCAAAAGAGTGATTTATAAACTAGTAGAAGTACTTTGAAATGGATTCTGAAGTTTACTGGTAACCAATGTATAGATTTAACAACCGGAGTGATTTGCTCGGTTCTCTTAGTTCTTAAGACTAGCAGCAGCGTTCTGAATAAACTGCTGTTGCTTCACAGCTTTTTATAAAGACCAGTCAAAAGACAACAGCATCTCCTGCTGGAGATGAATGCATGAATGAGTTTCTCTAGGTCTTGTCTGGACATGAGACCTCAGAATCATGCTATTTGATGAGGATGATAAAATGCTGATCTATTTACAGTATAGCCTTAATGTTACCAGTCAAGATGGGTGAGTCCATGAATGTTAGGTGACAGTGTGACGAAGATCTGTCAGGATTTTCTAATCGAAGCATTTTACCGTCTATTTTCTATCAGAAGCTAATGCAGGAGATAGGTGTGGGAAACAATTTTCACATTTTGCATGTTAACCTCAGAATGACCAATAATTTCCAAAAACAAGTAAGAAATGGTTTGTCAGTGAATGACCTTAAACACATCTGGCCATGTTTCTCTGTTTATCAGTGCATCAAGATTAAAATAACTACACATAAATGTGCATAAAATATACAACATTATGTAAAATGATAAAAGAAAATAGAAAAATGTAGAAAAAATGCTGGAAGTACTGCAGGGGTGTAAAAAATTATCTGGAACTCCCACTGGTGCTCTTCAGCCAAGGGATCCAGATGAATGTTAAGCAAAAAGAGGTCTGAGGCACTCGGGAGATAGAAAGTTAAAAAGCCTTTAATAATACATGGCTTAAATGGTTAAAAACTTTCTGCCAACGCGTTTCAGCCCAAAGGACCTTCGTCAGGGCTCAAAATGTTTTTAGGTCCTCTCACTTCCTTTTAAAGAAGGCCAATCAGTGACACCCGCTGAAGTTGGGCAGGTAGACAGCATCATGATTGGATGACCAGTATCTCACAAAAAAACTCTTACATTCTGAAAAAACCTATTATAAGGACAAATACTCACAAATGTTAAATTACCTCTGAGAATTGAGAAAAAGGAAAAGTAAGTAAATACAAACTTAAAGACAAACAGTACAAATATAGTAAGAAAACAGAATTACAAAAACAGAATTACAAAAAAGGAGCAAAATCCAATTCTCCATTAAGGCCTGAAAATGTGTAGCTTTTAATGTATACATACAAAATGGTTCTCTGCAAGAGTTTTTTCAGCCTATCACCTCCTCTAATTGAATGTTTTATATGTTCAATCTCTGTAATTTTAAGAGAGTTGCAGCTTCCATGATTTGCATCTTTATAATGCAGTGCCATAGGGTATAGAGGATTACCAGATCTGATTGCTTGTTTGTGTTCTGCAAGTCTTTTAACTTACGTTTAGTTCTTCCAATATAGAAGCAGCCACATGGACATTCTAGTCTGTAGACCACAAATGAAGTATTGCAATTGATGAATGAACCAACGTTAAAGGTGCGTCCTGAGAAAATATCAGCAAAACAATTATTATTAGTCATGTTGTCACAATGAACACAGTTTCCACATTTATGGTTACCTTTTCGAGTTGAGAGCCAAGTTTTTTGTTGCTGTAGGAAGGTGAATTTGAACAAGCTGATCATTTAACGTTGGAGCTCGTCTGAAGCTGATAGTAGGAGTATCTATGGGAGAGATTCCCTAAGAGTACTGTCACTTTTTAGTAAGTCCCAGTTTTTTAATTCAATTCAATTCAAATTTATTTATATAGCGCCAAATCATGACAAGCGTCATCTCAAGGCACTTCACACAATAAACATTCCAATACAGGTCAATTCATTAAGCCAATCAGAAAAAAGTTTCCTATATAAGGAACCCAGCAAATTGCATCGAGTCACTGACTAGTGTCAGTGACTTTACAGCAATCCTCATACTAAGCAGGCATGCAGCAACAGTGGAGAGGAAAACTTCCCTTTAACAGGAAGAAACCTCGAGAGGATCCTGGCTCAGTATAAGCAGCCATCCGCCACGACCCACTGGGGATCAAGAAGACTGAGCAGATCTAATCTTGTTGGCTTGATCACTGAATTGTGTCACAAAATAAACACCATCTGATCTTTGTTGGTTCTTAGGAACCAATAGTTGTTCTCTTGGAAGGCTTTTAGTCTTATTATACGCTTTGAGTATAGTTATTTGCTGGTAGCCTCTTGTTTTAAATCTCTGGCACATATCTGTAGCATTTTTTTCAAATTCTTCTTCTGTGTCACAAATATGTCCAAGTCTTTGAAACTGACCAGTAGGAATGTTGTTTATTAAGCATGATGGATGGAAGCTGTCTGCTCTAAGGATTGTTTTGCGGTGAGTTTGTTTTCTAAAAATAGAAGTGTGTAAATCTCCATTCACATTTTTTGAGATTTTCAGGTCTAGGAAATTAATTTCAAATGTGGAGAAATCTAAGCTACATTTCAAACTTTTGTTAGTATTGTTCATACTATGAATGAAATTGAAGTAGTTCTGATTCTGACCCAGACCACAGCAAAAATAATCCCAACCCTAACCCTAACCCATGCAGATCAAAAATAGGTGTTTTTGCACCAACATGTGTTGTGCAAGTCAGTGCTAAAAATCAACCATGTTACTGATGTTGTTACTAAAATAATAAGCTTCATCAGGGCGCGGGCAATGAATCACAGACAGTTTGTCGCTCTTTTGGAGGAGCATGAGACTGAGCATAGTGACATCGGCTACCACACAGCTGTCAGATGGCTCAGCCTGGGGAAAGTGCTGAAGAGGGTTTGGGACTTGAAAGCAGAGATTCGAGAGTTTTGCGAGAGGAAAGGCAAAGACATTCCAGAGCTCTCAGATGAGGATTGGTAGGCAGATTTTGCATTTGCTGTTGATGTGACTGCACTGATGAATGAACTGAACACCAAACTGCAAGGCAAGGGCCTTTTTGTTCATGAAATGCACAGCCTCGTGAAGGCCTTCATGAGAAAGCTGCAGTTTCTTTCAAGTCAACTGGAGAGCAACACTCTCACTCACATGCAAACCCTGAACGAAGTCACACCATCAGCTGATCACCTCAGCAGGTACTCATCCATGTTAGGAGCATTACATGGTGAGTTTTCAAGGCGTTTTGAAGATCTCAGAACAATCGAGGATGAAATGCACATGATTTCCTCTCCCTTTACCTGCAGTGTGGATAATGCACCCAGTGATGTGCAGCTGGAACTCATTGACCTGCAGTCTGATGCAGTACTGGCAGAGCACTTGAAGTCAGGATCTCTGCTGGATTTCTACTCTTCTCTTGAGGAGGAGAACTTTCCAAACCTGAGGAGACATGCTCAGAAGATGTTAGTTCTCTTCGGCTCTACCTACATTTGTGAACAAACAGTTTCAATGATGAAGTTTACAAAATCCAGGTATAGATCCTCTCTCACTGATGATCATTTGTCAGCTGTGCTTCGCATCTCCACCTCAGACATTCAACCTGACTTTGATGCACTTGTTTAAGCCCAGCAGAGACTAGATTTCTCTCACTGAATAAGAAAAAAATCACTTAAAAACACGAAATAAGGTGTTTGGACCACAAATGTAGGCAACTAGCAGTGAACTGAGACACTTTTTTTTAAAACCTCTTTCTCAGTTCAGTGATTTTATTTTACAGACAATACTGTGAGTCTGTAGAATGCTAAGAACCTCTTTCCAACAATATTTGAAACTCAAAATGTGTTTTGCAGTGAATGTGACTGAAACTGTTAACTAATATAAGTCACAAATGTTTAACAAAAACCAAATTCGCACACTTTGTTTACCATTGCCTTGGGAAATTCGAATAAATCACATTTTTGCAAGCCAACCTCACTTTTTCCTTTTTGCTCATTTATAACATATAGTCTACTCTTACCAGCTTGAAAAAACAATGGTATTTACTGCTTTTTATAAAGAAATACCAT